CCAGCATTTCACATATTGCTATCTCAATAATCATCACTTGGCCTTTGATCTCACGTTTGAGAAATGCCCCCTTACAGCTGAAGACATACACGTAGCTGAAGCTGGGGTCCCCTTGTTGTGTAAAAAAGTTCCATGGATCAAGGAACATGTGTGTCACGCCTGTCCTACGTCTATATAGGATTATATATATGCCGAGAGTCAGGTTCGCGTGAATTGAGGTCAGGTCATGGCAACTCCAGACACTGTGTGACCTTCACCCCGACGCTCTGATAATTACCTAACGTTCTACTGCTAACCCGATTCTCCGAAAGACACTTAACATTTTGTTAGCATCTGTAATTAATAGCATGAAACCATCAGATCGGTCAAGTTGTTCTTTCTCCTAGTTTTTAGTTTATATTAAAATTCCGTAACAAAGCAAAAACATCTCAGGGGCATTGTGTTATTGAATTGTAAAGTTTATGTTTGAAGTTTTATTTATTTAAAAAGACTGTGAGTTATGCGTGAAAAACATTTCTTCATAGACAGATACATTTGTAAATCGGAGTGAGAACTACAACACAAACTACCTGCTTACTACCGTAATATAACTGTATGTGATGCATCACGTACTAGTGGTTATCCGATTAATCGAAATAATCGAAGATTGGTCGCAGTGACTAAACGACCAAGCAATCGATCACGTTTTCTCATAATCGAACACAAACAATTCTGGAACACTTGTTTTCATCAACAATATTTTTCACAAGGTTGGTTTTGTCTGTTACATTTCATAAGCATTATAAGCTCGTTCCAAGTCATGATTGAATTTATCTTAAAGACACCAAGAAATTTATGTTCCTAACATACTAGTCATACTTTAAAGATGTGGAATTTTGCCCAAATCCCCCAAAATAACTACATGTAATTTTTCCTTATTTTTTTGTGCATTAACAAATTTTAAATGACGCTAACCAATTATTTTCGATGATTGATCGGTGGTAATGAACCAATCATCAATTATGAGATTTTAACCAATTCCCAACATTATCACGTACACAGGTTGCTATGTTTCAACACAATTACACAGCAACCGTTTCAGAAAGAAGCTCAGATGGCACACATATATAACACATTGAATTGCTTGCATGAAGCGACATCTTCGGAAAGCCTGTGCTTGAGACTAACATTTACAATATAATCTATACTATTCAGATATGTAGGGGATATGCTAATAGCAAGTATTAGGAACCAACTGATGGTGATAATAAACACCCAATGAAAGCATGTTCATGTCTGTAAAACGTAACGCCATTTTGAAACGTATCCTGCAGCTGCACGTGCTGCACGTTGTATCGCCGAACCGGTGCTTAGGGTGTCATTCCTGATTTTGAAACTTTCAAGAAAGGTCGACTAACCTCTGTGGATCATTATTTAAATTCTGTTGACTTATTGATTTCATACACCGCCCTGGCGCTGCAAATAGCTCCAAAAGTGCTGATGCAGCGTCAAGGAAAATCCACTCACCTGTCATCCTTCAAGATCGATGACGGCCATCTACTGTAAACACGTCACAATCTAATTCTGGACTCACAAACGTCCAGAAACTCTCCGCACTGTGGGCACTTTCTGACAAGGGATTTGACCAAATTAAACAAGCAGTTGTTATGAATATATACCAGGGATGAAAAAATGAATTTTTTTTAGAAATCTTTAAATTTAAACTCGCTCGCCCATGGGCGAGAATGTTTAAGTTTACTCAGAATTCATGTTTTGGAGGTTGTAAATGAATGAGTGTATATTTATAAGCATCATGACACAAATTTCAGCTCATTTTGACTTAATTCGACTAACTTAGAACGATATTAATAAATATCGCCCATGGGTGAAAAATATGTTGGCCCATGGGAGAGAATATTTACTTTTACTCAAAATACATGTTTATCGATGTTTTGGAGGTTGTAAATGAATGAGTGTATACTAATGAGTATCATGAAACAAAATTCAACTCATATTGACTTAATTCAGCAAATTTCACTACCGGTTATAATGTATTCCATATCCGTCCATTACTATTATAAAACTATAACTTAAGACATATCTCTTGTAGTTTTGAACAGTTCTAGACCAGTTCTATAGTTCCCTGCCGTTCAGGACCCGTGAAGATTCGGGTTAGAATTTATCTTCAGCAACCCATGCTTGTCGTAAGAGGCGAGTAACGGGATCGGGTGATCAGGCTCGCTGACTTGGTTGACACATGTCATCGTATCCCAATTGCGTAGGTCGATGGTCATGATATTGGTCACTGGATTGTCTGGTCCAGACTTGATTATTTACAGACCGCCGCAATATACCTGAAATGTTGCTGAGTGCGGCGTTAAACTACAAACCAAACCAAACCTTTCGTTCAGGGTCATTAAACAAATCAGGGCTCGATTTAGGTACATGTATACAAACCTGCACAATTGCAACCTGTTCTTGAAACATGCACCTGAATATTTCTGTCTACATACACAAAGAACACAATATGAAAATACCTCTGACTAACCCAAAACATGTTTGAACAGTCACTCAATACCATTGATTCTCATACCATTCCCCTAACCCCTGTGTTACGATCGATATGCCATGCTTAGGCAGACTTAATAGCATCAAACTGTAGGTACTTAAAATTGTGTGATCATTTTACATAATGCTTTACAGCAACGTGTCATTAACACTGGCAGCAGATCGCCCCATGTTTGTACATTGGCATTTATGTCAGAAAGTGATTTGTTTGGTACAACTTGGTTTTCGTGTCACCCTTGTAAGTTGCATCAACTTCCTTAATGGATCCCTGACAAAGCAACCGTAGCGCAACACTGTGTTAACGTGTACTAATCAGCAAGACGTGTTAACGTGTACTAATCAGCTGGACTGTGTTAACGTGTACTAATCAGCAAGACGTGTTAACGTGTACTAATCAGCTAGACTGTGTTAACGTGTACTAATCAGCTAGACGTGTTAGCGTGTACTTATCAGCAAGACGTTTTAACGTGTACTAATCAGCAAGACGTGTTAACGTGTACTAATCAGCAACACTGTGTTAACATGTACTAATTAGCAAGACTGTGTTAACGTGTACTAATCAGCAAGACGTGTTAACGTGTACTAATCAGCAAGACGTGTTAACGTGTACTAATCAGCAAGACGTGTTAACGTGTACTAATCAGCAAGACTGTGTTAACGTGTACTAATCAGCAAGACGTGTTAACGTGTACTAATCAGCAAGACGTGTTAACGTGTACTAATCAGCAAGACGTGTTAACGTGTACTACTCATCAGCAAGACGTGTTAACGTGTACTACTCACCAAGACGTGTTAACGTGTACTACTCACCAAGACGTGTTAACGTGTACTAATCAGCAAGACGTGTTAACGTGTACACCAAGACGTGTTAACGTGTACTACAAAGACGTGTTAACGTCAGCAAGACGTGTTAACGTGTACTAATCACCAAGACGTGTTAACGTGTACTAATCAGCAAGACGTGTTAACGTGTACTAATCAGCTAGACGTGTTAACGTGTACTAATCAGCAAGACGTGTTAACGTGTACTAATCAGCAAGACGTGTTAACGTGTACTAATCACCAAGACGTGTTAACGTGTACTAATCACCAAGACGTGTTAACGTGTACTACTCACCAAGACGTGTTAACGTGTACTACTCACCAAGACGTGTTAACGTGTACTCATCAGCAAGACGTGTTAACGTGTACTAATCAGCAAGACGTGTTAACGTGTACTAATCAGGATGGTCACAGTGTACGGTCGTTGTATGCATGAGGTCAGGTCCCAGCCAGACACAGCTAGCATCAAGCCAACAGGCAAGCAGTTATTTTCAAAGTCCCCTTCAACAAAATAATCATGCTGAATGTGATTCAGTTAGACCAGATCCGATTACATGTCCCACTGAATCGTGACGTGACGAGAGATCGTGACGGATCAGTGGTTGAGCTTTATTCACATTCGGTCGCCATATTTGATTGCGCCACCTTGGGTTGGCTCAAACATAAATATGTCCTCAGCGCTGTATTGTGTGACGTGAGAGACGAATGAATTGGATTGTTCAGTCTGACTTTCTGACTTGACTAATCGTATCAGTTGTCCGAAGCGACGATAAACCTGAAATAAACACTTACAACGACGCTTTGCTATTGTTCAAGCCGATTCTGAGCCAGGAAGACAGTGGCCAGTCTGAACGTGCAACTAAACCTACAGATCAGATTCCTCAAACGATCGGCGCTACCAGTCTGGTTAAAGTATGGGAGTTACACTGCGCTGGCGCTGTATACCATGGGACCCAGGCTGCCAACTGAGAACAGATCACTACGCTTACCTATAGAAACATTATGTTTCAAATGCATGGTATAAATCACAGAAACCTCTCGAATCTGATGATTCCAGAATTACAGTCAACAGACTGTCTTGATTTCTAAATAACCTAATTAGTACATCAGGTAAGGTACGGTGGAGTGTTCATATTTCTGTCAACCTTCGCCATCCAGTTATATATATTTGACAAGTGAGACTGTTACTTTTCACAGGTGTTAATGGTCAGGCGGGAGGACACTATGTGTCTCACGAATGCTGTTTAATTGTTTTTGGAGAAAATGGTACACCATGATCTCATCCTGCTTTAGGGGCGGTGGGGTAGCGTAGTGGTTAAAGCTCGTCACGCTGAAGACCCGGGTGTGACTCCCCACATGAATACAATATGCGAAGCCCATTTCTGGTGTCCCCCGCCCTGGTATTGCAGGAATATTGCTAAAAGCGGTGTGCAACCATACTTACTCACTCACTCACCTTGAAGAGCTAGCACAGTAACAAAAGGCAATAGTCGGTTCCATCACACACATTCACAAATACAGATACGTTGGTACAATATCGCCATATTCCATTTTACCCCATTTCAGTCCTATTCTGTCGTTATACTGAGATTAAAATCTATATGTATACGAACATTTGCTTTTTCATACAGCTACCTTGCCGACCACAGGCGGAAGGGTTCCTTTAACAGGCGGAGCAGAATGACATGTGGAAGAAGGTCACACCAATCTACACTCCTTCCAGCCAGCCCTAGTCTTACTCCTGGTAGATAATGCCTTAACTACATGCTCGCAGAGAATTTGAACAAACACGAATAAACTTGAACAACCTGAATAAACTCTTCGCGAGAAAGACGTCTTCAAACGCCTGAAGTCAGAACGGCACATGTCATGAATCACTGAACTAGTCAGTCTTGAAATTCAGGTAATTGGATATATAAACTCGCAATTCCGCTCACCTGAATATATTAAATACAGTTCATTTGACAAAGTATATGGCTACATTCAGATCAGCTGACATAGCCCTTTAACGTAATCTACTGTGATAGGCTCGGTAGGGTAATATACCCTTTCTAGTCTTCTCATCTCCCAGGTCCAGACCCCCCTGCCAATGTATGTTGGGTTTTCTTAAGACCCCATCGTCTTTGTCTCCCCAGGATCAGAGTGGCTTGGAAGTGAGGAATTCGTATTGTCCCGGTTAGTAAAATATGTTGCAGCATTTTTGTACGTATAAATTTAGACTTATCATCATCATTAGTAATGAGATTTGTAATTATATATAATTCGTCGTGGTTTCGAAATATTATGTTTCAGTTTATTTCATATTTGATTTCATTTCGATTTTTGGCATTAAGTACAAACCTATCAAATTATATTTAACTTTTATTTGATTACTAACAACAATTTTAAATTACGTGATGAACAAAACGAACTGTTGCTGCACGCTAGAATTCATACATATAAAATCTAGTTTATTACTTTCGCTGAATATGATTCAGCAATGCTGTATTGAATACCATGAATTATCTTGAATACCGTCAACTAGAGTAGTATACTTATACATGCCATGTTATCTCATCTCCATGTAGTAATACATAATACACAGCAATAATTGTATTACGAATATTATGATTATTTAGTGCATTTAAGAGATACCGTATGCTGTTTCGTGTCTTATACAGATACATGCAAAATGCTTAACGTTAAGAAATGTGTTTTCGTGTGGTTCATTCCAGTACAACATTATCGGTGTATACAACCATTAATGCATTACAACGTCAAAGGTAATGTGGCAATATATTTAGTCTGTGACATACATGTGTGTTTGTTCCTTGACAAATGATATAGTCTATGCTCATTGGAAAAATACATTGTACACCTCCAAATTGTTTTTTTTTTTCAATATGAGCGCGCCTCTGGTTATTACTCAATACGTATATTCCCGAAGCTTACATTTCTGTCTGTGAAACTTTCAGGGAATGCGTCAGGTAGGCTAATGGCGTTTATGTACGTAGACTGGTTCCCCCTTTACATAGACTGGTTCTCTCTTTACATGTACTGGTTCAGCTGAACTGAAACTGGTTGATCTATAGACGTTTCCGATTGTCATTGCATGTCTTGAGCCATGTGATGTATAAACAGCTATGGTGTTCAATATGTATTCAGATGATCTCTCTTAATGAATTCGTGAACCTTTTATATCCCTCTTATTTTTGCGCTCTGTAGAGCAGTTTTTGTGTTCAGATCAAGTAAAGCAAGTCCCAAAACATGCTTAAAACATTTTTGAGACACTTGAACGTGTGTTACCTTTTCTTGGGTAATAGCATAATTGGCTCCCCGACAAATCATGGGGATAACAGGCCATATTGACTATGTTCTTCAGTCAGTAGCTTGATAGAGTTACATTATTTACCGCTTGAAATTAGTCTATTCTAAAGCTATTGGCGAAGGATTCACCACATACATCCTCGAGGGATGGATAAACCTTAATGGCAGATGAGTCTGTGTGTTAGTCATTGATATTTTAAGAGAGAAAGTAAAGGAAGGGTGATAGGTGGGAAAGTGCGGGTGTGTGTGTGTGTGTTGTGTGTGTGTTGTGTGTCGGGGAGATGTGTGTGTGGTCGGGGGCTTCACCCCAGGAGTCTACAGTTCAGATGTCGTCATGTAATCAAAACTGTGACGTCATGAACAATGGTTGACGTCATATATTTGTTTCACATTGAAGCACTGTGACATATTAGGTCTTCAATGGGCGACTAATCGACATCGAGAATCGCTAAAAATGCATCTGTGTAAAATATTGGAGAGTATTTCCACACGATGTTATATGGTTATATACTCATACCAATAATGGTTGTCACCCCCCTCCCCACCCAAACCCCACACACCCCCACCCACATCCCACACCCCCACTCCAATAAAAAAAATTGGAAGGGGGTGACAACCATTATTGGCATGAGTATATTTACAAAGGTATCCCAACCACGGCGGACATGTAGATTTTACATAATAAAAACAGATATTTTAATATGTTTTCAAGGTTAGTTCCCCAGCATCAATGGTCCTGTAAGTCAATCTGGAAAGGAAGGTTGTTGATAGCTGGCTGTCACAGATTTGAACATGGCGTTTGCATCAACGTTGTCTTTGTGCGTATTCTACTGCTCGATATTTGCCACATCAACGTCAAGCGTGGACTCATCGGAGTTGAACGTCACACATGGGCACCGCAACATCACCGACGGCCATCATGACAAGGCCGGACACCGTGGACACCACGGCATTGAAATCGCCGGTGTCCTGTTTGATAATGTGAGAGAACCCCTGATATATACCATCGTGGTCATATTGGCAGCCATTAGTAAAGTTGGTGAGTGTGATTATCATTATTAGTTGTATATTCATGATAAACTGCAATTACAATTCGTTTTATTCTGTGGCGGGACGGTGGGGTAGCCTTGCGGCTAAAGCGTGCGCCCATCGCGCTGAAGACCGGGGTTCAATTCCCCACATGGGTACAATGTGTGAAGTCCGTTTCTGGTGTCCCTAGTCGTGATGCTGCTGGAATAGGCGTGAAACTAAACTCACTCACTCACCATTGTGTGGCCTATAATGGCTTTTCGAATTACATTGGAGTTTAGTTTTACGACGCTTTTACCAATATTCCACCAATATCAGGGCGGGGAACACCCGAAATGGGATTTACACATTGTACCCATGTGGGGACTCGAACTCGGGTCTTCGGCAAGCGAACGCTTTAACAACTAGGCTACCCCACCGCCCCGTGGTACATTAGTACTTTCACCGGTTTGTTATTTCTGTATGTTTCGTACTGTTTTGTAAGCATATCATTTTATAGTATATTAGAACCTAATTTAAAGGTATTTTACATATATTCGGTATATATTTTTAATCTGTTACTTTCCGTTTCCATGGGGATATCGTGTTAGAATGGTGTTCGTAACTTTACGACCTGTCGCAACTCTATAGTTTATCATAGACTTACGACTGTCGTAGCCCTATGAACGTTTTTGGATCGGGACCCAGGATCCCATGGCTCTGTGACTCAACTGGTTCAGAGGGCACCATTGTCATTCAGATGTGAAGATCGTTGTTCGCAATATCAATCACTGGTTTGATTATTGGCAAAACGTTTCTGAATGCAGCATTAAACAACAATCAAATGCGCGATCAAATACATTGAAGCACTCACGCACGCACGCACATACCTGTAAATAATCGAGTCTGGGCCAGACAATGCGGGGTACGTTGATACGCTGTCAAGCAAGTCGCCATCTCGACATCTCGATCCATCATGGATGTTGCAGATTTTCAGTTTTCACCATGCACGTTTCCGTTTGATATCGCCTAACAATAAATATCTTGTTGCAGTTTTTCACCATGCACGTTTCGCCTGAACAATTAAATATCTTGTTGCAGCTTTTCACCATGCACGTTTCCGTTTGATATCGCTTGTTGCAGTTTTTCACCATGCACGTTTCCGTTTGATATCGCCTAACAATAAATATCTTGTTGCAGTTTTTCACCATGCACGTTTCCGTTTGATATCGCCTAACATTAAATATCTTGTTGCAGTTTTTCACCATGCATGTTTCCGTTTGATATCGCCTAACATTAAATATCTTGTTGCAGTTTTTCACCATGCACGTTTCCGTTTGATATCGCCTAACAATAAATATCTTGTTGCAGTTTTTCACCATGCACGTTTCCGTTTGATATCGCCTAACAATAAATATCTTGTTGCAGTTTTTCACCATGCACGTTTCCGTTTGATATCGCCTAACAATAAATATCTTGTTGCAGTTTTTCACCATGCACATTTCCGTTTGATATCGCCTAACATTAAATATCTTGTTGCAGTTTTTCACCATGCATGTTTCCGTTTGATATCGCCTAACAATAAATATCTTGTTGCAGTTTTGCACATTTCACCAACATTAAATATCTTGTTGCAGCTTTTCACCATGCACGTTTCCGTTTGATATCGCCTAACAATAAATATCTTGTTGCAGCTTTTCACCATGCACGTTTCCGTTTGATATCGCCTAACAATAAATATCTTGTTGCAGTTTTTCACCATGCACGTTTCCGTTTGATATCGCCTAACAATAAATATCTTGTTGCAGTTTTTCACCATGCACGTTTCCGTTTGATATCGCCTAACAATAAATATCTTGTTGCAGCTTTTCACCATGCACGTTTCCGTTTGATATCGCCTAACAATAAATATCTTGTTGCAGTTTTTCACCATGCACGTTTCCGTTTGATATCGCCTAACAATAAATATCTTGTTGCAGTTTTTCACCATGCACGTTTCCGTTTGATATCGCCTAACAATAAATATCTTGTTGCAGCTTTTCACCATGCACGTTTCCGTTTGATATCGCCTAACAATAAATATCTTGTTGCAGTTTTTCACCATGCACGTTTCCGTTTGATATCGCCTAACAATAAATATCTTGTTGCAGTTTTTCACCATGCATGTTTCCGTTTGATATCGCCTAACAATAAATATCTTGTTGCAGCTTTTCACCACGCTCATTTTCTCTCATCGAAGATTCCAGAGTCATGGTGAGCATAAATATTATATTATATTTGTTAAATTTGGCCTTGCCGCAACCGGTGCATCTAACATATGCCCCCTCATCCATTGTGGATATTATGTCCCTCATCGGGATCCACCGTAGTTTTGGTTGACCCGATTCGCCTTGATTACTAGTATGTTTCTAGATTTGTCCGCCCCATATGGGTTTAATCAAAGACCTGCTCCACTTTATTCCTAGATCAGTATTCACGATGTGACTGAAACACTGGGGCGATGGGGTAGTCTAGTGGTTAATGCGTTCGCTCGTGACGCCGAAGACCCGGGTTCGATTCCCCACATGGGTACAATGTGTGAAGCCCATTTCTGGTGTCCCTCGCCGTGATACTGCTGGAATATTGCTGAAAAAAGCCTCACTCACTGAAACATTGCCAATGTGACGGATAATTCTAACTCACTCCTCCAAAACTAAGCTGACTCGCCGTGGTATGTTTTGTATACCAATCAAAGCGGCGTCAAACCCAAATCACACCCACTACTCTACATCACATTGGTTAGGGGGCGGTGGGGTAACCTAGTGGTTAAAGCGTTGGCTCGTCACGCTGAAGACCCGGGTTCGAATCCCCACATGGGTACATTGTGTGAAGCCCATTTCTGGTGTCCCCGCCGTGATGTTGCTGGAATATTGCTAAAAGCGGCGTAAAACCAAACTCAGTCAGTCACATTGGTTAATGATCGTTTACGTCATTCCTCAAACATACACAGTCACAGGACACACAAATCCTTTTCGTGTTTCAGCCTGCTGATCATCCTGGGTCTGATCTTCGGGGCCATTATTGAGTGAGTATACCGTGCTGCTCTGTTCATTCCAATGTGGTGGCGTGTGGTCCTGTGCATGGAGCTCAGGTCACAAATCAGTTGAAGTTAAGCAACGTCGGTTGCGGAGAATCCTTGGATACGTGACCGTGTCTGGCAGCTTGGCTCTTGAGAGTTTGTAAGACTTCAGCCCTGCCCCACAAAGAAGCACATGTGACACATGTAGCCTCACCTTAGGCAAGTGAGTTTGTTCAAAATTGCCTTTGTTCACCCTGCAGAAAATGGGTACCCGAGGGGATATGTCATATGACTGTTAACCTTCTAGCGCCTAACAGGCAGCTTGAGTTATCCGGAGTAATAATGTGTTTGCGCCTTGAGCATGCTTACGACTGACTCACTGACTGACTGAGTTTGGTTTTACGCCGCTTTTAGCAATATTCCATCAACATCACGGCGGGGGACACCAGAAATGGGCTTCACACATTGCTAAAAATATATATTGCTAGAATATTGCTAAAAGCAGCGTAAAACCAAACTCAGTCAGTCAGTCAGTCGTCCCCATTCCCAAATACGGAACCTTCAAGGTTTTCTTAGTTTTCATTAGAATTAATAACTTGTTACTGCCTGTGGTAGGATCTGCTTTGATGCCAACATTGTTTGTCTTCAGGAATTAGGTGACCTTTCATGTCACTCGAGCCAAACTCAAGGTCATATGCATAATTAACACTTGATCGGAATGAACATTACGATTGCATTACCTTCAAACTTAGCGCATGACTAATCGTACCCTGGACTCCAGAGACAGGTTAATCTGTGTCTATTATTTCCACACAAAAAGCGTGTGTCACAAACGTTTTTAGAATATATCGAATTTCGCAGAAGAAGAAAAACATCCATCCTCACCCTGGGGATTTTCCACGCAGACAGCCGCATTCCGACTGTGTAAGGATATTGTGTAAGCTTGGGCGGGGTTATCCAAGCGGAGATAGGTGGCATAGATTCAATTGGAACATAAACCTAACCCCCTCTCGCGAATACAGTGTCAGTGTCGATGTTTTCAGTACTCGTGATCACTCGGGGTCAGTCGGCACATTCCGTTTTTCATATATAATTTTGATTCTGATAGATAAACCCATTTAAATTGAAAGGAGCCCCTGGGAGATCGGAGATTAGAATCTGAGAAATCTAGAGCTTTAGCATTGCAGGGAGGGTAGGGTGTATCTATCTATCTATCTATCTATCTATCTATCTATCTATCTATCTATCTATCTATCTATCTATCTATCTATCTATCTATCTATCTATCTATCTATCTATCTATCTGTCTGTCTATGTATCTATCTGTCTGTCAATGTGTGTATCAATCTATCTATATATCTATCTATCTGACTTGAGAAGGCTCGTTGGAGCAAAACACGCTGGATCCATTCTCTGATATAATAATCCTCCATTAACTTTGCTCACAGTGGTGTATAGTTACAGTATATAGCGATTACAGGTACAATGCAGATACTGTGCATTAAAATTGCATTAAGGATACACTTGATGAATTCACATAACCTTCAGAGTGTGGAAAGCTTTGGAGAAGTCATTAACTTTATAAGGCCTATCTGAAGACAGGTTTTTCCGTACGTAACAGAAATGAGGTATATCCTTTGATGTGATGGCGAAGTAAAAGAAAACAATTTGATCAGTTACATCAGGCAGATTGTCACGTGATCAAGACGGTTTTAGCAGTTTATTGTCCGAGTGTACAGGAAGTGAAATGCACCATACGTTTGAATACTTACACCAAAACATCTCTCCATGAAGAAATACCCCACTCAGACACATTATACAGACATGTTGTTAACTGTATATAACAGCATTAATATATCGTAAGTGCAATGTTCTAACAACATTCGAAGTTTAATGATTGCTAAAATGTCAGTCTAACCAATCGCCAATCATTTTTTATTAATGATACTGATGAGTCCATTGGCCTATAGTATATGATCTGATGGGTTACAAATTCATTAAATTTTTACATCTGTAACAAATGTTATATTTAGGATTACACTTTCTTAGTAAAGTACAGATTCTAGTACCTTTGGTGGGTTGAGTCCCATCCGGGATTGGAACCAACACCCTCAGAGTCAGGCACCAACACACAAAGTCGGCAGCCTAACCCGCTCAGCCAACGCCGCTTCCACTGGCTGAGCGGGTTAGATGGCGCTCGGCATTAATGGGTACAACAAGGACTGGTCGGCTCGGAGTCAGTATAATGTGTCTGAGTGGGGTATTCATGCTTCACTGCGGCATGGTATCTCAATGGGCTAGCACTATAAAACCAGCTTAAGTCTGGGCTAGTACAAGCAGCCGCACATACACATACACACGCATGCACGTCGTCATATGAGCGAAATATTCTCAAGCACGACGTTAAACCCAATTTCACCTCACCTCACCTGAGCGGGTTAGGTGCCTGACTCTGAGGGTGTGGATTCAAATCCCGGGTGAGAATAAACCCACCAAAGGTACTAGAATCGCTTCTTTAAGAAAGTGTAATCCCAAATATAACATATGTTACATTTGACCACTTGCTAAATGGCCTTGTGTATTCATTGTTACATTTCCTATATTCCTAGCATGGAATATGTACATATATTTCTAGTAGCATTGTTACAGTCACTTCATTAATGTATCTGTTACCATTTGGATTTTCAAATATCATTATAGATAGGATACAGAAGTAGATAGTGGTGTTGGCCTCCAGTTAATCCATTAACACAATACAGGGTCTATGTGCCTCTAAAGTGCCTGTCGGTTTCAGGGGCAAGGGCTTGTGAGTTTCAACGAAATCGTGCAATGGCTGCTCAATAGCCCCTTGTGATCGTCTTGTATACGTTTCCCCACTATTGAGCCTGGCGGTTACAAGTGCATACAACTGCGATTCGATACCAGAACGTGTTTTAAAGATTGCATGCATAAATATGACATATTTGTCCACTGACGTTTGGATTAATATCATTTATTTCATGCCAATTTCTTTCAGATATTCCGGAGCTGCTGCCTACATGCCAGAGTTCTTCTCCCCCCATGATTTTTTTCAGTATCTTCTTCCTCCGTAAGTACCTTCTTCCTCCGTGAGTACCTTCCTCCATGAGTACCTTCTTCCTCCGCGAGTATCTTCCTCCGTAAGTACCTTCTTCGTCCGTGAGTACCTTCCTCCGTGAGTATCTTCATCTTCCGTGAATATCTTGTTCATCCATTAGCATCTTCTTCCTCCGTGAGTATCGTCTTTCCCGTAAGCGCCTTCTTCCTCCGTGAGTACCTTCCTCCATGAGTACCTTCTTCCTCCGCGAGTATCTTCCTCCGTAAGTACCTTCTTCCTCCGTGAGTACCTTCCTCCATGAGTTCTTCCTCCGCGAGTATCTTCCTCCGTGAGTACCTTCTTCCTCCGTAAGTACCTTCTTCCTCCGTGAGTACCTTCCTCCGTAAGTACCTTCATCTTCCGTGAGTATCTTGTTCATCCATTAGCATCTTCTTCCTCCGTGAGTATCGTCTTTCCCGTAAGCGCCTTCTTCCTCCGTGAGTACCTTCCTCCGCGAGTAATTCTTTCTCCGTCGGTACTGCGTTATACTGTCACCCTGGAGGTAGGCGATAGGTTTGTACTTGTAAGACTAGGTGATCAATAAAATAACCTGGATTTAACTGGTAAATTGTGATAACAGGTGTGGTATGCGACTTTACGGGATTTCTTTAGTAGTGCAGTACCTCCGGTAAGGCTTGCTTCATTACAACCGAGGACAGCACATACATATCGAGAATACATTTCACTTTAGACAAACGCGTCCCGAAATAACGCATGTTGATGGGATAGCCTAGTGGTTAATGCGTTCTCTCAGCACGCCGAAGACCCGGGTCCGATTCTCGAAAATGGTACAATATGTGAAGCTCATTTTCGGTGTCCTCCGCCGTTATATTGCTGGAATATTGCTAAAAGCGGAGCAAAACCTGTGTCACAGTCACAGTCACAGTCACAGACACTTACTACCATTGCTCACAAGTCACACAACTTCACATAGTCCCTTCTAGTAAAGTCATATTTGTTTGGCGGTCGCGCAATTTGGAACCAGAACTGGTTCTTGAATTTTCGCTTGACACCGGAAATCTGGTACCGGAAGTAAGCTGGGCATATCGCAAGTTGGCGCGCGCAAAGGGAGCCGGGGACCAGCTTAGTACCGAAAGTAGCGAGACTTATATTACATGCCCTATACACAACATTACGGCACACTTAAGCACAACAGATCTGAATAAGCACCTTACAGCTCAAAACTGATCTCAAAAGTTCCTCACAGTTCACTACTGGTCACTCGTCGCTATATGGCTGAAATAATGCCGTGGCGACGATAAATTGTTACTCACTCACTCACTGGTGCTCACGCTACTGTATACTGCCAAGTAACACTGCAGATTACAGCTGAATACGTACAATGTTGTATAGTACAGCACAATACAGCTCAGTACAAACCAATACAGACAGACAGAAGTATTTAATTAAAGTGAGGTGAGGTGAAATTGGGTTTATCGTCGTGCTCCAGAATACCTCGCTCATATGACGACGTGCACGCGTGTTCATGTGTATGTGCGACTGCTTGTACTAGCCCAGACTGAAGCTGGTTTTATAGTGCTAGCCCACTGAGATACCATGCCGCAGTGAAGCATGAATGCCCCCCTCAGACACATTATACAGACTCCGAGCCGACCAGTCCTTGTTGTACCCATTAATGCCGAGCGCCAGGCAGGGACCAACAAGTACCATATTTGAACGTCTTTTGGTATGACGCGGTCGGGGATCGAACCCGCGACCTTCCGCTCTCCGGGCGGACGCTCTAACCACTACACCACGGAGGCGGTTTTTATTAAAGTGTCACATAACAGTTACAAAAGGTATAATCAAGGCATTTAAAACATTTTATTATCCATATGGTGAAACATAACCAGTGTCATATATATCATATGTGCACATATCACTTTTGCCTAGCAACCATTGTTTCTCTATTTCGTCGTCTGTGACGTCACTAAAACAATTGAACGTGACGTCAATGAACAGGGCAGTAACACTTGCTTACCGTATTTTACTGCACAAATGTTCATGAATAAAATAGATAATAAAGAAATTACTACACTCGCAAGTGTGCCACACGACTTATACGAAACTGTGTATTGCCCTCGCTCTCTCGTATGGCACACTTGCTCGTGTAATAATCTCTATTTATAAAAACTGTCATCCAGCTATAACTAGCTAATGAGACAGTGTTGGGTTCAGTTGTGTTACATTTTGTCATTGAAGATCAGGAATTTTCACAAAACTTCTATGTCCTGCCCTCATTACCAAAGCCAGTCCTACTAGGTGAAAACTTCCTCAATGACAATGATGCAGTCATAGATTATAGCTGCCATTCCCTCATAATAGGCAACAGCACCTCAGATAGGCAGTATATCAATTTCATTGTCAATCCAGATCAAGAAATTCACTGAACATTAAAACGTATGAAAATATCAAAAAGCATATTGCACAATAGGATATTAAATCGTTTTAATATCACGAAAGTTTCAATGGTCATTTAATACACCTTCAGGACAAAAGGGGTCCGCCTATGTTATATAAGAGCATTACTTAATATAATACGATAAATTGTGCTGAAAAGAAGTTTGGAAAGTATATAAAAGTATATCTAAGACCAATACGGTCGACCACACCAAACAACCCAAACATCTCACCACGTAAAATTATCGCACATACACTAAGACCAATACGGTCGACCACACCAAACAACCCAAACATCTCACCACGTAAAGTATCGCACATACACTAAGACCAATACGGTCGACCACACCAAACAACCCAAACATCTCACCACGTAAAGTATCGCACATACACTAAGACCAATACGGTCGACCACACCAAACAACCCAAACCTCTCACCACGTAAAGTATCGCACATACACTGAGACCAATACGGTCGACCACCCAAACAACCCAAACATCTCACCACGTAAAGTATTAAACAACCCAAACATCTCACCACGTAAAGTATCGCACATACACTAAGACCAATACGGTCAACCACACCAAACAACCCAAACATCTCACCACGTAAAGTATCGCACATACACTAAGACCAATACGGTCGACCACACCAAACAATCCAAACATCTCACCACGTAAAGTATCGCACATACACTAAGACCAATACGGTCGACCACACCAAACAACCCAAACATCTCACCACGTAAAGTATCGCACACTGCAGCTCACTAAAACACACGACAGAGAATACTACATAATAGTATGATAATACAACACACTACAGACAAATACAGCCTACCACAGACTCAATACTCAATCCAGTTGAGCACAGCACACAACAGACCAGTAAGAAAACTTACACATTGTACTGTTAAGGATCGTCAGTATTTTCAATAATTATGTATTTCAGGATCATCCTAGAATCATCCTTCAGCCTCCACGACAGGACGTTTGCTGACAACATCGGATCTGTCCTCCTGTTTGCCGTCATTGTGAGTTCTTCTTCAGGAAAATCTGATCAAATGACATAAAACTATGATGGTTGCTGAGCTTGACTCGAACTGTTATTGTTGATCACAAAAAATGACAAAGGGTTTTATGGAATCCAGCGAGGGTTATGTTACGGTACTGGTCACTGATAACAAGACACAGATATTATTCTGACGTGAGACTCACTCACCACTTTTGTTTCAGGGAACCATATGCGCCTTCTTTACGCTTGGTGAGTAATTGTATAAACGTGCCAGACAACGCATCTTCTTTACGCTTGGTGAGTAATTGTATAAACGTGCCAGACAACGCATCTTCTTTACGCTTGGTGAGTAATTGTATAAACGTGCCAGACAACGCATCTTCTTTACGCTTGGTGAGTAATTGTATAAACGTGCCAGACAACGCATCTTCTTTACGCTTGGTGAGTAATTGTATAAACGTGCCAGACAACGCATCTTCTTTACGCTTGGTGAGTAATTGTATAAACGTGCCAGACAACGCATCTTCTTTACGCTTGGTGAGTAATTGTATAAACGTGCCAGACAACGCATCTTCTTTACGCTTGGTGAGTAATTGTATAAACGTGCCAGACAACGCATCTTCTTTACGCTTGGTGAGTAATTGTATAAACGTGCCAGACAAAGCATCTTCTTTACGCTTGGTGAGTAATTGTATAAAACGTGCCAGACAACGCATCTTCTTTACGCTTGGTGAAATTGTATAAACGTAAAATAAAACGTGCCGCGCAACGCATCTTCTTTGAGTAATTGTATAAAACGTGCCGCGCAACGCTTCTTTACGCTTGGTGAGTAATTGTATAAAACGTGCCGCACAACGCATCTTCTTTACGCTTGGTGAGTAATTGTATAAAACGTGCCGCACAACGCATCTTCTTTACGCTTGGTGAGTAATTGTATAAAACGTGCCGCACAACGCATCTTCTTTCCATAATATTTGGGTTGATTTTACTTTTAATGCTTGTTTAGACAATTGTAATTTCCGTTACCATGGCGATACATCAGACTGAGATGCAACATTACCATACAACATATTTGTAATGTAGGATTCCGTGAACATCCTGGTTAGAACTAGTCTTTAGCAACTCATGCTTGTCGTAAGAAAGGCGACTAACGGATCGGGTGGTCAGGCTTGCTGACTTGGTTGATACATGTCACCATACACCAGTAGGGTATATCGATGATCGTGATGTCAGTCACTGGATTGTCTGGTCCAGACGCGGTTATTTACAGACCGCCGCCATATAGCTGAAATATTGTTTAAAACATATAGCCTCACTAGTGAGATCATTTGGAGTCGTATTCTGAACAAGGACTTTACTGGTACCGCAAATGGTATATTTAAAATCTTACCGAAAAAAGGGGCGTAGTTTTTCATCCCGCCACTGGATAATTATATAAGCCCTGTTACCTGCATATCGTCAGGGTCTCTGAATTGTAGGACCGGCAGTGCAGCCCAGTGATGAAGGCGTTCCCATGTAATGCCGAAGACCTGGGTTTGATTCCCGGCATGAACACATATTTATGGTATCCCAAAAGCTGATTTGTTAAAACGGCCAAAACAATATTCACTCACTCTGAATCGCACCCCTGTTTATGCCTGTAGGTCTCACTCTGTACGGCCTAGCGATCAGCGGGGCAATGGGGGTTTTCCCCTTCGAGTTCACACTCATCCAGATCCTCATCTTTGCCGCACTCATCGTAGCTGTCGACCCTGTGGCGGTAGGTCGTAGTTGCTGTTACTTGATATATCTCACCTTCTCACATGCGATTGCGTGCTTTCAGAAAACTCATCTCAATTAAACATGGCGTCAGCGGTAGCCATATTGAAAATGCCAGAGTTCGATTTTATATCATCTCCAAACTTACGTATTTTGTTTTTGACTAATGATTTTTCAACAAAGTGTTCTTTTATATTTGTGTATGATCAAACAAAAAATTTCACCACGACATATAATGTGCTTTACTGACATATACTGGTTCACAACATGTTTGGAGCGGTGTGGTAGCCCAGTGGTTAAAGCGTTCGAACGTCAAGCCGAAGACTCGCTTCGATTCTTCATATGGGTTCGACCCGTGAAGATCCGGGGTAGAATAGGTCTTCAGCAACCCATGCTTGCCACGAAAGGCGACTATGCTTGTCGTAAGAGGCGACTAACAGGATCGGGTGGTCAGGCTCGCTGACGTGGTTGACACATGTCATCGGTTCCCAATTGCGCAGATCGATGCTCATGCTGTTGATCACTGGATTGTCTGGTCCAGACTCGATTATTTACAGACCGCTGCCATATAGCTGGAATATTGCTGAGTGTGGCGTAAAACTAAACTCACTCACTCACTCACTCACTCACTCACTCACTCACCATATGGGTTCAGCGTATAAAGCCCTTTTCCGGCGACATTGCTGGAATATTAATAAATTTGCGGTAAAAACCATACTCGCTTAAATTCATTTAAAGTGTTAAAACAGACATGAAACTGTTTGTGTTTCAGGTTCTAGCTGTGTTCCAGGAAATAGGCGTCAACAATGTTTTGTACTTCATGGTTTTCGGAGAATCTCTGCTCAACGGTAAGTCCACGTCAAGGTTCTGTTCTACCCCTTGTTTTATCTATTGTCTGTAGGCAGATTTAATATTTTCACGAATGAGTGAATACAAATGATAAATATACAACTTAAAAAAGTGACCACCGGAAACTTGTTTTCACGAACCTTCTGGTGATGCATATTACTCGCTTAAAATGTTACTTACTGTAACTCCCTTTAAATATATTTTAAAGATGTACCATGTATCAACCTAAGGGATCATTCATAATTTATGGCTGAGGGATGGGGGTGGGGTGTTTGATGATGATTGTGTTAAGCATGGACAATGTGAATGACCCCCCCCCCTAAAAAATTCATGTCATGTACAAGATCAATTACCTCCCCCCATAAGTTTTTATGCACAGTTATTTATACTGATACGTACCGAATTTCTGACCCCTCTTATTGACTGTGTACTACATTGATATCCCCCCCCCCTAACCATCACACACCTCCCCAGAACAAATTGGTGACAACCCCTCCCTTAAAATCATCATCACCCTGGGTCTAGCCATAAATTATGATTGGTCCCCAAACTTACAGGATTCATATATAGTGGAATGGTTGAGTGGAAAGGAAATAGTAATGTGTAATTTCTGTTGTGTGTAGATGGCGTGACTGTGGTCCTGTATCAGGTCATGCAGACATACAACGAACTAGCTTTATCAGGTCAAGGTGTGGACGGTGAACAGGTAAGACTACAGCTGAATCAGGTCATGCAGACATACAACGAACTCTCTTCATCAGGTCAAGGTGTGGACGGTGAACAGGTAAGACTACAGCTGAATCAGGTCATGCAGACATACAACGAACTCACTTCATCAGGTCAAGGTGTGGACGGTGAACAGGTAAGACTACAGCTGAATCAGGTCATGCAGACATACAACGAACTCACTTTATCAGGTCAAGGTGTGGACGGTGAACAGGTAAGACTACAGCTGTATCAGGTCATGCAGACATACAACGAACTCACTTTATCAGGTCAAGGTGTGGACGGTGAACAGGTAAGACTACAGCTGTATCAGGTCATGCAGACATACAACGAACTCACTTCATCATCAGGTCAAGCTGTGTGGACGGTGAACAGGTAAGACTACAGCTGTATCAGGTCATGCAGACATACAACGACCTCACTTCATCAGGTCAAGGTGTGGACAGTGAACAGGTAAGACTACAGCTGAATCAGGTCATGCAGACATACAACGAACTCACTTTATCAGGTCAATGTGTGGACGGTAAACAGGTAAGACTACAGCTGAATCAGGACATGCAGACATACAACGAACTCACTTCATCAGGTCAAGGTGTGGACGGAGAACAGGTAAGACTACAGTTGAATCAGGTCATGCAGACATACAACGAACTCACTTTATCAGGTCAATGTGTGGACGGTAAACAGGTAAGACTACAGCTGAATCAGGACATGCAGACATACAACGAACTCACTTCATCAGGTCAAGGTGTGGACGGAGAACAGGTAAGACTACAGTTGAATCAGGGCATGCAGACATACAACGAACTCACTTCATCAGGTCAAGGTGTGGACGGTAAACAGGTAAGACTACAGCTGAATCAGGTCATGAAGAAAGGGTTTTTATGGATGATTTTGTGTTGTGATTGCACTGTTTATTCACCAATGGTGTAATGTACTAAGTTAATATGGTATACATACTAACAGACAAATACACTTCTTGCCATCACAATTTGTTCTGAATGTAAGAACGAATAAATGTTTAATGGACAAATACATAACATGACATTTACGTTCTCCCCACAGATTGGACTCGGTATCCTGAAGTTCTTTGTGGTGTGTTTCGGTGGACTAGCGCTTGGTGTTCTCGCAGGGATCGTGACTGCACTCTTGACGAAATACACCAGACACGTTAAAAGTAAGCAACAACAACACGATTAATATCTAAGGCAACTTTATACGAATCAGTCTGTGCGCTACTCAAGTAGGTGTCAGAGCACGGCACTTGCGATCGTCTCAGCGATGTGTACCTGTAAAGATCCGGGTTAGAAATACTTCAGCAACCCACGCTTGTAAGGGGCAAGTAACAAGTTCAGGTGGTCATGCTCGCTGACTTGGTTGACACATGTCATCGTATCCCAATTGCGTAGATCGGTGCTCGTGCTGTTCATCACTGGATTGTCTGTTCCAGACTTGATCATTTAGAGACCGCCGCTATATAGCTGGAATATTGCCGAGTATCGCGTTAACAAATATACATAACCATTGCTGATGTTGAAATGGGCTGGTGAAAAGTAGTTTTGGTTCTACTAATTGCTTTCTTAAACAAAGTTTGTTTCTCCGAATCCCACTTGAAATGGTATTGGTCACATTTGCGATATTATAAACATTTGTATCTATCTTTCATTTTGACAATCCGATTTGACTGAATCGGATTGGGAATGTTATAATCCATTACATTTGAGTTGAGTTTTACGCCGCACACTGAGAGCCTTATACGTTCTCACATGTCTTTTATCCTTGACAGACTTCCTGGTTCGAGTTCCTTACCTTCTCAGCCTCATGTCTCGGGTGTTTAACAGCAGCACCCGGTGTCCCATGGTATTATATGCTCACTCACTCACTCACACTCACCCACCACCACCACTCACTCACTCACTCACTCACTTGATGCTGTTTCAGTCGCCCAGCCTCTTATCGTGTACACAATGGCGTACCTCGGCTTCCTCCTGGCGGAGCTGTTTGAGTTCTCCGGCATCATTAGCATCATCGGCTGCGGCCTCGTCCAGGTCCAGTACTCCTTCCACAACATCAGCGACAAGTCCAGGACCACCGTCAAATACTTCACCAAGGTCATCAGGTTGGGAACTTTAAGGACATAAAGTCTGCAGCATTCGGGCAACCGGATTCGGGGAGATAAATATGGATAAAATGAATTCACGATAAACACTGCAGGACATCGTGCACTCTCTGTCTGAGGCCCACTGCTCGTCCCCAATCGTGATATTGCTGGAATACTGCCAAACGCGGCATAAAACTGTACTAACTCAGTGACTGTCTGTATGACAGTGCAGAGAAAACATGTCGCTATGCAGAGTTGCGTCCCTTGAGCACGCCAGGAACCTGAGATAAAGTTAAGGTGTTAGTGATACACCTGCGAGTGAAATATCTTTCACGCCTTTAGTAGTATCCCAGCAAAGTCATGGCCCGGGACACCAGAAATGGCCTTCACACACAGTACCCATGTGGAGAATCGAACTCGGGTCTTCGGCGTGATGAGTGAGTGAGTGAGTGAGTGAGTGAGTTTTGTTTTACGCCGCTTTTAGCAATATTCCAGCAATATCACGGCGGGGGACACCAGAAATGAGCTTCACACAATGTACCCATGTGGGGATTCGAACCCGGGTCTTTGGCGTTACGAGCGAACGCTTTAACCACTAGGCTACCCCATCGCCCTCGGCGTGATGAGCGAACGTTTTAACTAGGCAACTCACCGCTCGTTGAAACTGGGAACAATTAAGATCTGGGGTAACCATCTGTAACGGCAACACCATTTCACCAATGCGACAAGGTGCATAATACATCCTGTGTAGAATCCGGGTTAGAATTGGTCTTCAGCAAACCATGCTTGTCGTAAGAGATAACTAACGGGATCGGGTGGTCAGACTCGCTGACTTGGTTGACAAATGTTATCGTATCCCAGTTGTGTAGATCGATGATCATGATGTTGATCACTGGATTGTCTGGTCCAGATTCGATTATTTACAGACCGCCGTCATATAGCTGGAATATTTGCTGAGTGCAGCGTTAACCAACAAACCAACCGTGCAACCAAGCATATTAAATCCTCTAATGAAACGCTCCAGAAAAATAGAGCTCACCGTATTGCATAACCGGATATACCCCATGTTAAAAACAGTAAGCATGTAAGTGCATGCAGCCATTATTCAAATCGGTCAAGTACAACGTCAAACGAAAAAAGACGCCTGTGCGTGCAAATGTCCTTAAACATAACAGGATGTACTTTTGACAAATATAGATGGCTCTCACGGTTAAGAGCACATTTATTTTACCTTTGACTTGCAACATCCGCGATGGTCGTCTTATATGATACAAACCACAAAAGAAACTTTTTAAACGGACTCGGAGGCGGATATAGGATTTCAATAGTTCCTAGAGTAAATATATCAACGAGGTTAGCTTCATGCCAGGCGGCGGCGGTGGGGTAGCCTAGTGGTTAAAGCGTTGGCTCGTCACGCCGAAGACCCGGGTTCGAATCCCCACAGGGGTACAATTTGTGAAGCCCATTTCTGGTGTCCCCCGCCGTGATGTTACTGGAATATTGCTAAAAGCGGCGTAAAACCAAATTCGGTCAGTCAGTCAGTCATGCCAGGCGAGTTAACGACAGAGTAACACTGTCTGACTGAAAGTCAGAAATCTGTGATTGTGGGTTCGAATCCCGATTCACCCCGATTATGTTTCCAGGTTTGTCTGCACCAGAATCATGCTTGGGTTTAAGTAAAATAAACATCTGAGTTCAGTATCACTTCAGGCTTCCTCCAAGATTGAACTGACCCGGCTTTTCAAAAGCGGAATACTGTCCAAACCGGCGTCAACCGCAACTCACTTACTCACTCTTGTATCCTCTTAAAGCGTTCTTTTTCTTCATCAGCACCACCAATGAAATCATCATCTTCCTCTTCCTCGGCTTGGCGATGATCCGGAAGAAGAATCACATGTGGCACACTGGCTTCGTGCTGTGGACCGTCTTCTTCTGCCTTCTGTATAGGTTCTTCAGTGAGTATAAACCGACAGTAACCACCCTAGTTGTTGAGTCCTGATCCATCCTGCTTTTCTTATTACCCACCTAGATGTTGTGTCCTGATCCATCCTGCCTTCCTTATTACCCACCTAGATGTTTTGTCCTGATCCTTTCTGCCTTTCTTAACCCACCTAGATGTTGTGTCCTGATCCATTCTGCCTTTCTTATTACCCACCTTGACGTTTAGTCCTCATCCATTCTGCCTTTCTTATTACCCACCTAGACGTTCTGTCCTGATCCATTCTGCCTTTCATATTACCAACCTACACGTTTTGTCCTGATCTATCCTGCCTTTCTTATTACCCAGCTAGACGTTCAGTCCTGATCCATCCTGCCTTTCTCATTACCCACCTAGACGTTCTGTCCTGATCCATCCTGCCTTTCTTATTACCCACCTAGACGTTTTGTCCTGATCCATCCTGCCTTTCTTATTACCCACCTAGACGTTTTGTACTGATCCATTCTGCCTTTCTTATTACCAACCTAGACGTTTTGTCCTGATCCATTCTGCCTTTCTTATTACCCACCTAGACGTTTTGTCCTGATCCATTCTGCCTTTTTATTACCCACCTAGACGTTTTGTCCTGATCCATTCTGCCTTTCTTATTACCCACATAGACGTTTTGTCCTGATCCATCCTGCCTTTCTTATTACCCACCTAGACGTTGTGTCCTGATCCATCCTGCCTTTCTTATTACCCAGCTAGACGTTCAGTCCTTATCCATTCTGCCTTTCTTATTACCCACATAGACGTTTTGTCCTCATGCATCCTACCTTTCTTATTACCCACCTAGACGTTGTGTCCTGATCCATCCTGCCTTTCTTATTACCCACCTAGACGTTCTGTCCTGATCCATCCTGCCTTTCTTATTACCCACCTAGACGTTCTGTCCTGATCCATCCTGCCTTTCTTATTACCCACCTAGACGTTCTGTCCTGATCCATCCTGCCTTTCTTATTACCCACCTAGACGTTCTGTCCTGATCCATCCTGCCTTTCTTATTACCCACCTAGACGTTTTGTCCTGATCCATCCTGCCTTTCTTATTACCCACCTAGACGTTGTGTCCTGATCCATCCTGCCTTTCTTACTACCCACCTAGACATTTTGTCCTGATCCATTCTGCCTTTCTTATTACCCACCTAGACGTTTTCTCCTGATCCATCCTGCCTTTCTTATTACCAGCCTGGACGTTTTGTCCTGATCCATCCTGCCTTTCTTATTACCCACCTTGATGTTCGGTCCTGCTCCATCCTGCCTTTCTCATTACCCCCCTAGACGTTCTGTCCTGATCCATCCTGCCTTTCTTATTACCCACCTAGACGTTCTGTCCTGATCCATCCTGCCTTTGTTATTACCCACCTAGACGTTCTGTCTTGATCCATCCTGTCTTTCTTATTACCCGCCTAGACGTTTGTCAGGATCCATCCTGCCTTTCTTATTACCTACCTAGACGTTCTGTCTTGATCCATCCTGTCTTTCTTATTACCCACCTAGACGTTCTGTCTTGATCCATCCTGTCTTTCTTATTACCCACCTAGATGTTCTGTCTTGATCCATCCTGCCTTTCGTGTTACCCACCTAGACGTTCTGTCCTGTTCCATCCTGTCTTTCTTATCACCCACCTAGATGTTGTGTCCTGATCCGTCCTGTCTTTCTTATTACCCACCTAGACGTTCTGTCCTGATCCATCCTGCCTTTCTTATTACCCACCTAGATGTTGTGTCCTGATCCGTCCTGCCTTTCTTATTACCCACCTAGATGTTCTGTCCTGATCAATCCTGCCTTTCTTATTACCCACCTAGACGTTCTGTCTTGATCCATCCTGCCTTTCTTATTACCCACCTAGACGTTCTGTCCTGTTCCATCCTGTCTTTCTTATTACCCACCTAGATGTTGTGTCCTGATCCGTCCTGTCTTTCTTATTACCCACCTAGATGTTCTGTCCTGATCAATCCTGCCTTTCTTATTACCCACCTAGACGTTCTGTCTTGATCCATCCTGCCTTTCTTATTACCCACCTAGATGTTCTGTCTTGATCCATCCTGTCTTTCTTATTACCAACCTAGACGTTTTGTCATGATCCATCCTGCCTTTCTTATTACCCACCTAGATGTTCTGTCCTGATCCATCCTGCCTTTCTTATAACCCACCTAGATGTTCTGTCTTGATCCATCCTGCCTTTCTTATTACCCACCTAGACGTTCAGTTCTGATCCATCCTGCCTTTCTTATTACCCACCTAGATGTTCTGTCCTGATCCATCCTGCCTTTCTTATTACCCACCTAGACGTTCTGTCCTGTTCATCCTGATCCATCCTGCGTTTCCATATTACCCCACCTAGACGTTCAGTTCTGATCCATCCTGCGTTTCTTATTACCCACCTAGATGTTCTGTCTTGATCCATCCTGAGTTTCATTACCCACCTAGACGTTCAGTTCCTGATCAATCCTGCCTTTCTTATTACCCACCTAGACGTTCAGTTCTGATCCATCCTGCCTTTCATATTACCCACCTAGACGTTCAGTTCTGATCCATCCTGCGTTTCATATTACGCACCTAGATATTGCAAAACGCGACATAAGACAATAGTGAATCGCTCATTGGTTCGTCCAGTTACAGATCAAACCAATCTCATTTGTAAATGGAATTGAAATTTAATACTCCTATTTGCAGCTGCTCTTTTGTCGAATGTTATTTGCTATTTGTGAGCTCGTCACGATAAGTGGTGAATATTTGGAGCATTATTGGCCTTCGTACCTAATGATAGCGTCAAAACCCGTTGGTGTGATTACGATAATGCAAAACTTTTCTGCCGCTATTATTTGTGGCAAGGCAATTCATTCATTCTTCTTTTATTTCGGTTTGTAGGCCATCGGCCCATGTACAATACGTGCAAAAGAATACATTTTCGTAGAATAGGAGTAACTGTACAACGTGAGTGAGTGAGTTTGGTTTTACGCCGCTTTTAGCAATATTCCAGCAATATCACGGCGGGGGACACAAGAAATGAGCTTCACACATTGTACCCATGTAGGGAATCGAACCCGGGTCTTCGGCGTGACGAGCCAACGCTTTAACCATCAGGTTACCCCACCGCCCCCTCGTAGAATAGGAGTAACTGTACAACGTAATTCATGTAAATGGCTAATTTTGTAACATTTTTCTATGAGCAAGAGCTTTTTTGATGCAGTTAGAACAATTAACAAGGGTATATCTCCAATTACTAGTTAATATATTATGGTAATTAGCGACTAAATGTAACTGACTATTTACAGGAACATACATATCTCTAATAGCATTGTAAGCATTACACTCAAACATAAAATGTATAACATTTTCATTCACCTCTTCCACACATGCTACATTCACACCTCTTATATTACACAGTAAAGGGAGGAATTTAATCTAAGAAGGCAAATATTTCTTCTAACAGTTACAAATGTACTTGGGTGAAGAAATTTACATAATATTCAACATTCAAAAGTGACTTAATTTCTTTAAAGTACATCGAATTGATTTATATGACCAAAATAAGCTGTTTATCACAATCAATTAGTCTGTTCTTAAAACTATATATAAACTGAGAAATATCACCAACATCCTGACTGTACCAAACAAAACAAAACCCATAGGAACTTAACAAATATTTAACAGAAGTAGCCTACGTTACTATAACAGCTAAATCTAATTTTCTCATAAGTAAATAAGATTGTTTTGGATAACGATCCTCAGACATCCTCAATAATTTACACCAATAACTAATACATCTGACATAATAATCAACATACATATTTAATCTACCGCAGTCAGCTAAAACTCCATTACTAGAAACCTGCTGACCTACACCAAGAACATACTTGCAAAAAGATAGTGCGGAAGATTCCAAGCGATTTCCTCCTCGAACCCCCTGATTTCAGATCCATATAATAACACAGGTTTAACCTTACTATCAAACAACTTGAACATTAACTTTACCGGTATACTTGGATATTTTATAAACAAAGACTTCAGAGCAAAGATGGCCTTACTAGCTGTACTAACATGGGTATGAGTACACTTTGTCCAAGACAATCTAACAGAAAATAGAACACCAAGATAACTGTAATATGTTGACGTATTATACATATTAACCTCTAAATCCGAAGAGGTACAATACGTATGTAATATATCAATCTTCCTCTGCAAACCTATAACAGTGTCATCAAATAGATTAAGATCATCTGCATGCAACAATAACAATAAATCCATGTAATCTGAACCAACAAATATACCCCCTGAGACCTGAATTTTGTAACATACCTTGAAATTCCGTTATAAACATCACAAAGAGAAATGAATTAGAACACAACCTTGCCGAACAGCACTCTCTGATTCAAAGTATTCACGAATGACTGAGACGAACAGAAACCAAAATCTTAGAATACATATTTCGTAAAACTAAAAGTAATCTACCTCGAATACCTTGTTTTAAAAGCGAATACCACAATACTGTTGTATTGACTGAATCGAAGGCCTTTCGAAAATCAACAAATAAACAATAAAAACGACCACCACCTTTCGAAAGATATTTCTGAACAAGACACTGAACAAGTAAAAATATTATCTGTCCTACTATAACCCTTACGAAATCCAGCTTGAACCTCTGGAATCTTATCATAACAGTCTGCGAAAAATGAAGGCGATTATTTATGACAACACAAAATAATTTACCCAAAACATCCATGAGCGAAATACCACCAAATTATCAACTGTATTTACATTACCCTTCTTATGAGGGGCACTATAATACCTTTTACCCATTCCTGTGGATATACACCGGAGCTGAGAACATGATTATAAATCAACACCAAATAAGGCAATAACAAATGGGATACAACAAATAATCATTTCAGTCTCAATGCCATCTGGCCCAGCAGCTTTCCCACACTTCAAGTCTTTTACTGCTGCTTCAGTCCCCCTCTGGAGAGATATCACAGTTTAAAATACAGTCAACATCATTATCAATGTCAGTATCAATATCAATATCACAATCCAATCCATCAATAATGTCAAACAATGTTTTAGCATCATCAATCATCTCATCGTCGACAGCTATATCAGTTATATTACACACACTTGTAAAATGGGGCGGTGGGGTAGTGTAGTGGTTAAGGCGTTCGCTCGTCACGCTGAAGACCCGGGTTCGATTCCCCACATGGGTACAATGTGTGAAGCCCATTTCTTGTGTCCCCCGCCGTGATATTGCTGGATTATTGCTAAAAGCGGCGTACAACCATACTCACTCACTTGTAAAATAGACCGCCTATTGTGTCGGCGTGATGGTGTTAGACTGGCTTTGAGACCATGTCAGTGACTTGACTTTACTCCAGAAAGTCTTCTTGTCATTTTTAGAGCACAAATTCACAAGATATTTAACTTCACTATTTTCAAGTTCAGTTTTCTTTTTTCTTCATATATACCTATAGCTAGCTATTCCTCGCTCTACAGTATTCACGTAACTTGTCTCTATCTCCTGTTAGTCTGAATTCGTTTAGATTTTACATTTTCTTCTTGTTTAACTGTTCACATTCATCATCATACCACAAGTTGGGTTTTGGTTTATACGACGGGTTGTACCTTGACTGTAAGCCACTGCTCACTGCACATGTTTGTAAAGCTGTTGTCAGTTTGTCTACTGCCGAGTCTATGGTCGTGTTCAGGAGATCACAACACTGATGTAGACTGAAATCTTGTAAGAAGTGGCTTAGACATCCTACGAATGTCTGTTTACTTTCCTCCTTCCAATGAAATCGGGGAATGTTGTAACCCTCCCCGTCGTCAGCAGTATCACTGCTTGGAGTTACAGGACATGATATAGTCACACTCAGGGGGAAGTGATCCGACTGGTCTCTAGTGTGCACATTAAATCAACAATATTAGCAAACAAACTAGTTGAACATAATACATGTATATAATCTACGAAATTACAGCCATTCTCCTTAAAACGGGTAACTGATCCCCATTTATCTCACGGAAATCTCCCATTCAGCATATGCACACCCAAAGTGTACATATTAATGACATTCTTTAAATGAGGTGAGGTGAGGTGAGGTGAGGTGAGGTGAAATTGGGTTTAACGTCGTGCTTGAGAATATTTCGCTCATATGACGACGTGCATGCGTGTGTATGTGTATGTGCGGCTGCTTGTACTAGCCCAGACTAAAGCTGGTTTTATAGTGCTAGCCCACTGAGATACCATGCCGCAGTGAAGCATGAATACCCCACTCAGACACATTATACTGACTCCAAGCCGACCAGTCCTTGTTGTACCATTAATGCCGAGCGCCAGGCAGGGACCAACAAGTACCATATTTTAACGTCTTTTGGTATGACGCGGTCGGGGATCGAACCCGCGACCTTCCGCTCTCCGGGCGGACGCTGTAACCAATACACCACGGAGGCATTCTTTAAGTGGCTGTCGAGTGAGAAGCTGCTTCTTCCGATCCAACTTTTCACTGATGGACATATTGATAGTTAGCTCAATAGATAACTGTCCAATCTTACCAGTGTCCATGTTTAGGCGCATGTGTCCACAAATAAGTATACTAAGGGAGCATCCTTGAGAATTCTGGAGTTTTCTTAAATGAACAGTTTCTTGAGAAATATGACCAAACTGAATAGTGTATTGGCAACAGTTAAACGTATATTTGCTTCTTTAGTTATATACTCATGCCAATAATGGTTGTCACCCCCTCCCCACCCCAACCCACACACACCTCACACCCCTTACCCACAGCCCCTCTCCAATTAAAAAAACCATTATTTGGCAGTTGTAGTTTCGTGAAATCAAATATCATTAATATGTTCGTATTAGACGGGTAATGACTGGGTGTTGCCTTCTTGTATCCCCTTCTTGTATCCTTAAAGACATATGTTCATTAAGTCACTATACACACCGACTCATTTAAAAATAAAACAGTTTCCTGTTAAACTTAAAATCTATTCCATTCGAAATTTTGTTTAGCTCAAAACATTTCTTGGAAAGTAACGTTCGTGCTTAAAGTCAAAATGAAAAAAATTGTTCGGTGGACCAATTGTTCGTTGGACAAGCTTGAAGAAAATAGATTGTTGTAAAAAGACCCCCTCCAAATCAAATGGATGTGCCCAAAAATAGATAGAAAAGTCGCATTCGTGTATTTCTTCAGTCACCTTCGTCTTGTCCTTCCTGATCAACAAGCTGGACAACGACAGAACGAGGCGGATCTCTTATGATGAACAGTTCATGATTGTAAGTAGAAGCTACATTTCCTAAAGTTCACGATTTAAAGTAGAAGCTACGGAGCCCCCAGTTCGTGATTGTACGTAGAAGCTGCAGAACCTGCAATTGTCAAACAGTGGATTGTCTGGTCCAGATTCCCGTCTGTTTTTAAACCGCCCTCATATACAATAGTAGTTGGAACATTACTGAGTGCGGCGTTAAATAATATATCATCCAAAGAAAATTCCGAACTCAAAATCGCTTATCGTGAAAGGAGTTTCAGTTGAATCAAAGACTTTGTTGATATCTTGACCCCAAGGCGTGTCATGTTGCTCATGACTACCACCACTGGTTTATCTTGCAAAGCTCAATTATTTACCCGCCGATAAATAAATATGCACCATTGATGACATTTACGGAGTCATTAAATCCTATAATAATTCACAGCCGGAGTCGGGACGGTGGGGTAGCCTTGTGGTTAAAGCGTTCGCTCGTCACGCCAAAAACCCGGGTTCTATTCCCCACAAGGGTACAAACTGTGAAGCCCATTTCTGGTGTCCCCCGCCGTGATACTGCTGGAACATTGCTAAAAGCGGCGTAAAACTAAATTCACCCACTCGCAGTCAGAGCTGTACAACATCTAGATTTATAAAGTTCACAGTGTAGCAAGCATCATAACTAACACAGCTGTGAACCAGGTCTTTGTGGCAGATACCATGCTTTCATGAACTACAACTGTCGTCCAGGCGTATGGGGGTCTGCGGGGAGCCGTGTGCTTCTCCCTCGTCGCCCTGCTGGATGAGAAAGCCCTACCCCCGGGGATGAAGGACATGTTTGAAACTGCCACCCTCGTCGTGATCTTCTTCACAGTGTTCGTGCAGGTATTGACGTTATACTATTCTCACATTAGGGTCGGGGCCTTTGTCTTGTGGTTAAACATTTACTGACAATTTCAACAAACACTACTGTTTTGGTTTTTTTTTTGACTTTGCTGTGTTTCTGGGGATGCTATGCATTTACTTCCAAATCGGTTTTCTTCAACGCTTCGGGTGCTTGCTCCAGCCCGCTCCCACCCCCACCATCTTTATGCAAGAATAATATATATGAACTTGAACCCGTGACGATCCGGGTTAGAATTGATCTTCAGCAACCCATGCTTGTCGTAAGAGGCGACTTACGGGATCGGGTAATCAGGCTCGCCGACTCAATTTACACATATCATCTTATCCCAATTGCGCAGATCGATGCTCATGCTGTTGATCACTGGATTGTCTGGTCCAGACTCGATCATTTACCGACCGTCGCCATGTAGCTGGAATGCGGAGATACAAAAAAATATAACCAAGTAGTGACGTTTTTGGAGTCTATTCTAAAGGAACAATAAAAATACTCACTTTCAAATGGTATTTCGGGACTCGTCAGCGAATTTGGTTCGCGGATTCAACAACTAAACAATACTATTGGTGTCACAACAATCTCTACATTATTATATTTTTTCAGTAATTTAACTTCACGTTGCACCTTTTCATGACCCAGTGTTATATATGTACGTGACAATGACTGACATTCTGCCTGTATATTGTGAATATCTCAGATCTACATTCGAGATTGGTGTTTAGTAGTATTCGCGATACTGAGTAAAAGAGACACAGAGTAAAATTTGTACAGTCGAACTTCGCTTATCCAACACTTCATTTTTTTCACCTTTTTCACGTCAGAAACTTGTCAGTTACTCCCCTTAACCCCCCCAGACCGCCTCCGTGGTGTAGTGGTTAGAGCGTCCGCCCGGAGAGCGGAATGTCGCGGGTTCGATCCCCGGCCGCGTCATACCAAAAGACATTAAAATATGGTATTTGTTGGTCCCTGCCTGGCGCTCGGCATTAATGGGTACAACAAGGACTGGTCGGCTCGGAGTCAGTATAATGTTTTTGAGTGGGGTATTCATGCTTCACTGCGGCATGGTATCTCAGTGGGCTAGCACTATATAACCAGCTTAAGTCTGGGCTAGTACAAGAAGCCGCACATACACATACACACGCATGCACGTCGTCATATGAGCGAAATATTCTCAAGCACGACGATAAACCCAATTTCACCTCACCTCACCTTACCCCGAAAAACCCTCTGATATATAATGCGATAGATAATTATGGTATTTGTAAGTCACAATCTACATCGTATCCTTCAGCGAATTCACGTGAATTTGATAACAGAAAAAATATTGTACGATTAAAGTTCACTGGAGACAATGATTTAACATTTAAACTGTACCAAGTGCTCTGCAAGGTATTTCTAGGGGATTTGGGGTAAAGGGGGTCGGTCGGCGCCTCTTTCATTTCTCATGTTTTATTTCCAAGGGTATCTCCATCAAGCCGCTGGTCAAGCTACTCCGTGTCCAGTTGGCTCAAAAGAAGCAGCTCAGCATGTACCAGGACCTCAATGAACACGTGAGTGAGACTACATGTACTTATCTCACTTTACACATGAATGAGTGAGTGAGACACTACTACATGTACTTATCTCGCTTTACACATGAATGAGTGAGTGAGACACTACTACATGTTCTTATCTCACTTTACACATGAATGAGTGAGAAACTACTACATGTACATATCTCACTTTACACATGAATGAGTGAGACACTACTACATGTACATATCTCACTTAACACATGAATGAGTGAGTGAGACACTACTACATGTACATATCTCACTTTACACATGAATGAGTGAGTGAGACACTACTACATGTACATATCTCACTTAACACATGAATGAGTGAGTGAGACACTACTACATACATGTCACTTTACATATCTCACTTTACACTTGTACATGAATGAGTGAGTGAGACACTACTACATGTTCTTATCTCACTTTACACATGAATGAGTGAGACACTACTAAATGTACTTATCTCACTTTACACATCAATGAGTGAGTGAGACACTACTACATGTTCATATCTCACTACACATGAATGAGTGAGTGAGACACTACTACATGTACTTATCTCACTTTACACATGAATGAGTGAGACACTACAAAATGTACTTATCTCACTTTACACATGAATGAGTGAGTGAGACACTACTACATGTACATATCTCACTTTACACATGAATGAGTGAGTGAGACACTACTACATGTACATATCTCACTTTACACATCAATGAGTGAGTGAGACACTACTACATGTACTTATCTCACTTTACATGAATGATGAATGAGTGACTGAGACACTACTACACATCAATGTACTTATCTCACTTTACACATGAATGAGTGAGTGAGACACTACTACATGTACTTATCTCACTTTACACATGAATGAGTGAGACACTACTACATGTACTTATCTCACTTTACACATGAATGAGTGAGACACTACTAAATGTACTTATCTCACTTTACACATGAATGAGTGAGACACTACTAAATGTACTTATCTCACTTTACACATGAATGAGTGAGTGAGACACTACTACATGTACTTATCTCACTTTACACATGAATGAGTGAGACACTACTACATGTACTTATCTCACTTTACACATGAATGAGTGAGACACTACTAAATGTACTTATCTCACTTTACACATGAATGAGTGAGAGAGACACTACTACATGTACATATCTCACTTTACACATGAATGAGTGAGACATGTGTACTTATCTCACTTTACACATGAATGAGTGAGTGAGACACATGAATGAGTGGTACACTACTACTTATCTCACTTTACACATGAATGAGTGAGTGAGACACTACTACATGTTCTTATCTCACTTTACACATCAATGAATGAGTGAGACACTTCTAAATGTACTTATCTCACTTTACACATGAATGAGTGAGTGAGACACTACTACATGTACATATCTCACTTTACACATCAATGAGTGAGTGAGACACTACTACATGTTCTTATCTCACTTTACACATGAATGAGTGAGTGAGACACTACTACATGTACATATCTCACTTTACACATGAATGAGTGAGACACTACTACATGTACATATCTCACTTTACACATGAATGAGTGAGACACTACTAAATGTACTTATCTCACTTTACACATGAATGAGTGAGTGAGACACTACTACATGTACATATCTCACTTAACACATGAATGAGTGAGTGAGACACTACTAAATGTACTTATCTCACTTTACACATGAATGAGTGAGTGAGACACTACTACATGTACTTATCTCACTTTACACATGAATGAGTGAGACACTACTACATGTACTTATCTCACTTTACACATCAATGAGTGAGTGAGACACTACTAAATGTACTTATCTCACTTTACACATGAATGAGTGAGTGAGACACTACTACATGTACATATCTCACTTTACACATGAATGAGTGAGTGAGACACTACTACATGTACATATCTCAGTTTACACATGAATGAGTGAGTGAGACACTACTACATGTACATATCTCACTTTACACATGAATGAGTGAGTGAAACACTACTAAATGTACTTATCTCACTTTACACATGAATGAGTGAGTGAGACACTACTACATGTACTTATCTCACTTTACACATGAATGAGTGAGACACTACTACATGTTCTTATCTCACTTTACACATCAATGAGTGAGTGAGACACTGCTACATGTACTTATCTCACTTTACACATGAATGAGTGAGTGAGACACTACTACATGTACTTATCTCACTTTACACATGAATGAGTGAGTGAGACACTACTACATGTACATATCTCACTTTACACATGAATGAGTGAGTGAGACACTACTACATGTACTTATCTCACTTTACACATGAATGAGTGAGTGAGTAGGTTTTACGCCGCTTTTAGCAATATTCCAGCAACATCACGGCGGGGGATACCAGAAATGGGTTTCACATATTGTACCCATGTGGGGGATCGAACCCAGTATTTCGGCGAACCAGCAAACGCTTTAACTACTGAGCTACCTTATCGCCCTCTTTACACATGAATGTCGGTATCCTTTTCCGTGTTTCCCATCTCCAACCCGCCCTGGATTTTCATTCCGGCTTATGCTTGAAAGCAATTGTACAACCAATTCCTAAGTTCGACCGTGCCATGAAACAGACACTGAACGAGAGTGGTCCTGTGCATAGAGCTCAGAGCCCCGTTTCACAAAGCTCTCGTAACTTTTCTCGCAGCACAATCTTACGATTTTATGGGCGTTTCACGAAGCTCTCGTAGGCTTACGATACCTTAAATTTACAATATAAGTTACGGTAAGTATTTGCTCTCGTATATGAGCTTTATTCTCGTAAGTCAAAAACAAAATGGCGTATTATATGTTGTGTTTTAGCATTGCGTTTAAATTTAATTAAGCTGAAATCAGAAGAAGCCTACGAACGAAAGATCGACTCGATCATCACTTACTTTTCAGCGATCTTATTCCAGAGACGCTTTTTGCCAGCAGCTGTGATGACTGCTGAAAGTCTACCAAATAGATAGCTGCTGTGGTGGGCCACTTCGGATGTTAAAATGTCCATTTCAAAGGACGAGAAATTCGTTTTTCTAACCCTTCCCTTTGACTTCTAGTCCTCCATTGTACGGCGGGTTGTCGTCTGTTTACACAAAGGGACGTAACTCGCAATCCATGTTCTTTTCAAGTCTTCTCAGCAAAAGAGTTCGCAATACGATAGCTAAAAGTTCCCGTAAGTTTTCTCGTAACAACGAGAGTACTAAGATACTTTCGTGAAACGTCCTTAGCGTGGTATCGTAAGATATATCGTAGGTGTTACGAGATCTTAGGTCTACGAGAGCTTTGTGAAGCGGGGCCCTGGTCACAAATCAGTTAAGTTAAGCAATGTCGGTCGCTGAGAATCCTTGGCTAGGTGACCGTGTTTGGCAGCTTGGCTCCTGAGAGACTTCAGTCCTGCCCCACAACGATACACATGTATGTGATACATGTGGTCTCACCTTAGGCAAGTGCGTTTGTTCACAATTACCTCTGTTCACCCAGCAGAAAATGGGTACCCGGTGGGATAAAGTCATATTACTAGAACTTTCTAGCGCCAAACAGTCAACTCGGGTTATCCGGGGTAATAATGTGCTGTTTGTGCGAACTTTTAGCATGCCCCCTTGTGGTGTGGAGTATTGCGCGGTATGCGTACTCTCGTTATTCAATTATGGATTACAAAATGACAAATTTGCAGACACTGTTTTTAATTGTTTCAGGTGACAGATCATTTGATGGCCGGTGTGGAGGAAATTGTCGGTTTCCGGGGGAGATACACTATAAAGGTGCGTCTGTCTTTTTCCGTTTCTTATGTCAACGTGTCAAAGTTTCACAAGTTGCCATTTCCATGTTGGCAAGGCAGGGTTCAGTATCACTAGAGTCAGGTGTTACTTTGCACAGTCTTTGTGTTTGCACAGTCTTGTGTGTGTGCGTTCGTGCTCGCGCACACCTCATTTTCTCCCGTGTTCACGAATATATCAATTATAATTTAATAAACTTTCAGGACAAAATGGGGGTGCGTACCCCTACAGCCCCCCCTCTGGATCCGCCTATGTTATAGCGCTGGTATCTTACCTACGAGGGCGTTCATATTTATCATACGATACCCTAGGGCAAAAGATCCCTTTGTCATGGTGACGTGACGTCATGATCAATGCTATGACGCCACTTTTCTTCTATGACGTTGCGTTCTACATGCGGCGAAAGCGGGTAGCTGGGTAGTTGCATATTCATCTCGTACGTCACACGAGTGTCGTATCGCGTTGACCTGTGTCGTAACGACTTGACCTGAAATTCTAACGATTTGATTGGATAACTGATGACCTCTCAATTAGGTCACAATCTGACGTAACTATTTTTTCATTCATAACAAACACGTGAATCCATTCATTCTACAACTTAAATGCATTGTGGGAATGTAAACATTGCGAACGTTGCCGTGTCGCTGTTTAATTGTGAGTCGAACTGAGACATTATATCTGTCGAAAAACGTAAACGCAATGTTTCCACCAGTGATGTCAGCCGAATGAAGCAACTGCAAACCAAGAAACGAGGTGCAACGGAGTAGTTTACTGTAGGAGGCTGTACGAGGCGATGACAACTGAAATACATCGTGACGTCGGTTACCATAGCAGTGACGTCATTAGTGTGACGTCATGCAAATATTGTACTACAGTACAAAACTCTTCGGCAACCTCTTAAATATGAAACCGGTTTCGGTTTGAAACCAAAAACATATCAAAAATACGCTATTTTGTCAATTTAAATGCATGTAAGACGTGGGTAATAAATAAAATACCACACTCGGTCTCATTACATACGAAACTCGTGACCTTCCTATGCTATCTGACCTCGCTTTCACTCGGTCAGATACCATAGGAAGGACACTCGTTTCGTATAATTCGTATGTAATGAGACCTCGTGTAGTATTCTCTATTTAGGCACTCTTGTCGTAAACAGTATGACGTCCATGGGCACTCATATAATATCCTCTTTATATGTTGCTGCTCAAAAGCGCTTTGAGTGACTGATTTGTCCTTGAAGGCTTTGATGAACAAATGTGTTTTCAGCAATGATAAAAAACTGCTTGGTTCATTTGTCGATCGGAGTTGTGGAGATTGATTATTCCACAGATGTGACCCGGATGTCTGGCCTTATGTTTTTGTACAGGATTTGGAGTTTGAAGAAAGCCCTGATCCCCTAACCGTAGTGATTGTAAAGGTCCAAAGGACTGTACGAGCTCTGCAAGATAAGCTGGTGCCAGTTAATTCAGAGCCTTCCCTACAAGCGTGATATCCTAATACTCTGTAGTATGTAGACCAGGAAGTTGTGAACTGGGTCAAATACATTGTCAAACGCCCTCAAAACGACCTAAGTCCCTTTTTGTAGGTTTCCAGGAGAGACGAAAAACTGGTTGAGGTCGAGTTTAGATCGTTTTTGCATAAATTATGCATATTCAACACGCTGTAATTCCGCAAAATATTAGTTATCAACGTGAAATTCACCACAATCTAGATTTCAACATATTATTATGTCAAAACAACCTAAGTTTGACTTTGGTCGTTCTGCTTCTCAAACCCTTCTTAATATTTATGTTATATACAAATAGAATTGGGATTTTACGGGGCTTCAGCAGTCTTCAAGCAATATCCGCCAAGCTCCTCTCAATCCGGCCATCTCTACAAGCAACACGAGGAATATTTTCTTAAGACAGTCAACTATATTGTCAACCTCCAATTGGGTGGTTTTCACAAATACAAAGTAACATTAGTGATATTTTAGATTGAGAGTTAGATATTTGAACCCACACTCTCAGAATAAGGCACCATTCAACTGTACACAAACAATAGAGCCGGGTTCAATTTAAACTTGTTAAGGCTTAGAATAGGCTTAAGGAATACCGTATACCGGGACATTTTCAAGGTACTAATATTTCTAGGTTTGAGACCCCCAGAGCTTTCGAGGTGAATTAAATTTCGAGGTTTGGGGACCTAAAATATATAAATATTTTAGACAATTTTAAATTCGAGGTTAGAAGAAAGTGGCCAGAAACATCACTTACCGGACCAATACTCACTGAGCTATTAGCAAACTCCTAGTAGCCAGTGATAACTGCCGTCTGACTGTTATAACAACCGGTATACCAGTCCATGGCAGCAATAATAGTAATGAAAACAAACGTTTGATCCTTTGTTTTGATAAATGACCCATGAAACACTAGGCTTAGACCTCTAGGCTACCCCACCGCCCAACTTGGTAGTAGGGTAGACACGGTACATGATCTAGACTACCACATGTCAGGCGTCTGGTGGTTTTTATGAAAATATTTCTACATTATCCCACGTGATGTTGTGACTAGGACAGCTGATGATGTGGTCTGAGATGTCTGATGTTGTTATCAATAAAGTATCATATCTTTCTTATTTTTCATCATCTTCTGACCGCCTCCGTGGTGTAGTGGTTAGAGGGTCCGCCCGGAGAGCGGAAGGTCGTGGGTTCGATCCCCGACCGCGTCATACCAAAAGACGTTAAAATAGGGTACTTGTTGGTCCCTGTCTGGAGCTCGGCATTAATGGGTACATCAAGGACTGGTCGGCTCGGAGTCAGTATAATGTGTCTGAGTGGGGTATTCATGCTTCACTGCGGCATGATATCTCAGTGTGCTGGCACTATAAAACCAGCTTCAGTCTGGGCTAGTACAAGCAGCCGCACATACACATACACACGCATGCACGTCGTCATATGATCGAAATATTCTCAAGCACGACGTAAAACCCAATTTCACCTCACCTCACCTCATCATCTTCTAAAATGTCAATCAAACAGATAAGGATTATGTATGGGCGGAGGTAATAAGACCTCGTGGGAGGTGGGCTTGAAGGTATAATTTGTGCGATCTGTGTTGTGTGTCGAACCTTCGGGACTATAATATTGCGACCCACCTCCACTGAGTTAAGGCTACCTCACTCACTCTCCACGCAGGAGGAACTGGAACGTTTTGAGGACCGCTACATCCGGAAGTGGCTACAACTGGAACCGGAACTCAGCCAGACCCAGCTCCAGGAGTTCTACCACAAGATCCTGCTCAAGTAAGTGTCACGGAAGTACCAGTAAAACCTCCTCCGGTAAACATCTGGGTCGTCAGCGACCCATGTCCATTTGCGTAGATCGATGCTCATGATGTCTATTAGTGGATTCGATTATTTACAGACCGCCGCCAAATAGCTGTAATATCGCTGAGTGTGGCGTTGAACAAAACACAACCAAAACCTCAACCAGTGACCATCCGGGTTAGCATTGGTCTTCAGCAACTCATCTTTGTCGCAAAAGGCGGGACGGGATCGGGTAGTCAGGCCCGCTGATTTGGCTCTTGCGTGTTATTGCAGGTTTGCCTGGTTCAGAATTGTTTAATTACTGGTCGTTGTGATGCACCTGGGATATTGCTGACTGCCATGTTAAAACAACATTGAACTTTAAACGCAACTGGGCGATGGGGTAGCCAAGTGGTTATTGCGTTCGCTCGTCACGCTGAAGACCTGAGTTCGATTCCATACATGGGCACAATGTGTGAAGCCTATTTTTGATATCCCCTGCCGTGATATTGCTGGAATATTGCTAAAAGCGGCTTAAAACCATACTCACACACTCACTAATTCTACCTCAATAAGTTATAATCGTTTGATATGCTGTCACCATACGAGGTATTTCATGAAAGCTCCCGTGTCAAAATGAATCTATAATATATCATATGTGTTTAATAAGTCGCAGTCTTCCGGAATATTGTTTGGGTGTAAATAATGTTGCACACACCATTTCTTGTGTACTTGTTTGACAAAACCTTTTTCTGACCGCGCGTATCTTTATCCTCCGATGTCAGAGCAGAAGGTCGCGGGTTCGATCCCTGACCGCGTCATACCAAAAGACGTTAAATATGGTACTTGTTGGTCCCTGCCTGGCGCTCGGCATTAATGGGTACAACAAGAACTGGTCGGCTCGGAGTCAGTATAATGTGTCTGAGTGGGGTATTCATGCTTCACTGCGGCATGGTATCTCAGTAAGCTGGCACTATAAAACCAGCTTCAGTCTGGGCTAGTACAAGCAGCAACACATACACGTACACACGCATGCACGTCGTCATATGACAGAAATAATCTTAAGTGCGACGTTAAACCACTTTACCTCACCCCACCTCCCATTTCAGAGAGCACTACAAGCATCTTCAACTAGGGGGAGTCTCTGCTAGGCCTGCTCATGGCCATATGTAAGTATGATATACATGCTTCCAGTCATTTTAATTAGTGTTCTAGCATAAAAACTCGTTCCATCCATCATTCAAAATTATGTAAAATTTCTCATTAGTCTAGTGTTTCTGTAAGTAAATACGAGTAGCATGTATTAGGAACACAAATAATTCTCTCAGTAAATTTCTTAGGACGGTGCAACGCCCGAGACCCCCATGTTGACCAGAGGTCATGTGAATAGGGTCATGTAATAAAATAATGTCATCAGACACCACAACATAAAATTGAAAAAAAATGTGTCAATTTGCAAACGAATGCAACATATGATCGATCACCTTGTTTGGAAGATACTTTCACGGGAAAGCTTGCCGAGCAGACGACACTCAAAGGGACGTAACTCTAATTTCTCATCACCAGACTGATATCATCACCAATTCAAAAAGTGTTCCCACCCATATCAGCCCGGTAGAGGTGTAATACGGGTCAGCTCATTACACCCACGTCTGCATATTGACTCTACTGCTTGTGTATCATAGCTTTCACAGGTATATGATAAACATATCGCAGACTATTTCACCAAAAACTCTTCTGTCAGATGTAGCCTACGAGTACTTCCTACTTGGTAGTAGGGATCTAAAAGCTAAGGTAATGGTTATTGTACCAAAGGAAATTTGTTTTACATCCAGTGAAGTCCATACATGTAAAAGGTAACATGGAAACACAGAATACAGACATCACTATACATCAGACAAACAGATAACAGAACAATCACAGCTACGAATAATAAAATAAACGTAGCAGTCTTCAAGTAGAAACATGGTGTAAGAAAAATATTTATCTGAGATAAATTCACTTAGTGAAGATTAAAAACTTTTAAAGTGTAAATTTAAGTTTCATTAAGAGCACAGATCTGACAGTCCGCAGTAATTAGATAAAAATGGTTCATCGATAACGGATTCAGTCTGAATCAGTATCCACGGTCTAAGTAACACACCCTGACCAAGCAGTCAGACTTTAGGACTATGGAAGTGTTTGGCGTGCATCTGTAATAAATGAAATGTTTCGTGTTTAAGTCCCCGGATTGAGACCAGTTTATACCTTGCTGAAGAAGACCATGACAACCACGTAGCTCCTGGTGCTGTGGCAGGTAAGACTTTGAGGAAATATATAGATCAGATGACAAACAATATGTGGTGGTGGTGGTGGTGAATTGGGTTTAACCTCAACGTGAACATTTAGCATTGGTCTTCAGCAACTCATTTTTGTCATATGACGACGGACGCGGGTGCGTGTGTTTGGCTCTTACGTGTGTGCGGCTGGTTTGCCTGGTTCAGCCCGGGCTTAAGCTGGTTTTATACACCTAGCATATTGAGATACCATGCCGCAGTGAAGCATGAATACCCAACTCGAGACACAAGTGGTATTGCTGACTCGTCACGAGCCGACCAGTCCTTGTTGTATGGGCACAATGTGTGAAGCCGAGCGCCAGGCAGTGACCAACAAGAATACCATATTTGAACGTCTTTTGGTCAGTAAATGACGCGGTCGGGGATCGAACCCGCGACCTTCCGCTCTCCGGGCGGACGCTCTAAGCACTACACCACGGAGGCGGTCACAAACAATATGTACCATATTACTTTGCAAATAGGGGATTTAAGAATACTTTAGGGGCAACCTTGATATTTACAGTATATTTTATTTGTTACTGGTTTATTGGAAGCTGCCATATTATCGACATGACAAGAATTTTATGAAAGAGTTTTACTCTTTTCAAATTATGCATTATGCAGAGTCATTTTATGGAGTGAGTGTGTATGTGCTGATTGTGCAAATGAACGTACCACATGGAGACTGCAGCCTAAATAGGTTCCTCATGATCAAGAAAGGACGAGTTCAACCTTGAATATTTTTGCTAAACTTTTTTGCCTTTGTAGAAAATTTGCGTCAGATTATTTTTTTTTTTTTTCGTTTTGTTCAGAATCTTCTATACACTTTTTCTCAAACGAATCACAGCTTTTTGTGTATTGAATTGTCGGTCCCTTCATGTGTTCATCATCGTGGCTTTTCCAGTGCCCGAGAAAAAGAAGAAAGAGAAGCACAAGGCTAAACACATTGATGCCTATGGCCTGAGTGGTCTACTGAAGATGCACCATGGAGCTTCTGTAAGTATGATCACGAATACACCTATTGGGTTCTATCATCTTCACGGCGCAATGTCATTCAACTTGTGAATACGAAGATCCGGGTTAGAATTGGTCTTCAGCAACCCGTGCTTGCGATAAGGAGTGACTAACGGTATCGGGTTGGTCAAGCTCGCTAACCTGGCTGACACCTGTCATCGTATCCCATTTGCGTAGATAGATGTTCAAGCTGTTCATCACTGGATTGTCTGATCCAGACTCGATTGTTTACAGAGCGCGGATCAAAGCATGGGCGTTTAAGACATAGCTACAGTAGGTGTGCGATACCATATATTCGGTGTCCACCGGGTCCCTCTGGCGTGGAGAACATAAACTAACATAACGGGTACGTCAATCCACGTCCAGGTAGTTAGAATATTGCTGAGCCCTGCGTCGAACAAAGGGGTATTAATCAACCTCTGTCAGAGTTCAGTGTCCAGTTTGCTACAGGCTGATTGACACGCTTGACAGAAGGATGCAAAATGAAATGTTCGTGAAAAATTACTCTCACATCCAGAAAACACAATATGGCAAAATGAGAAGAACGTCTAAAACTAAATACAGTAGACTTCGGCTATAACGTACAGAATTACTGGTAATTTAAGTTCGTCTTAACCGAAGTTCCTTATATGCATTTTGACTAAAATATACAGCAAGTGTCCAGGACAGAAAAAAGTTCGTTATATCCATAAGTTCGTTACAAGCGTTTTCGTTATAAACACAATTTACTGTCCCGTGAAGTTAAAATACGTGACCCTAAACTTGAATTGAAAGATTGCCATAACTATTGATTCTGTTCAACTGTTTCAGGCACTGCATCGCAAGTGGGACAAGAACCTGACTGAGGAACACCATGGTAACCTTGCCAACCACATCCAGATGAAGACAGCCAAGAACAGACGCATTCAGTCTCACAAGAAGTCCTCATCACGAAACCAGAACGCGACGCCAGAAAAAGTTGCCCAAAACGGAACCGGAAGTGACGTTCAGTGTCACGAAACCCCGTGTTTGAAAGCGATCAAACAGTAGTTCGGTTCAGTACTTAAGAAAACAATCTTAAGACTCAAAAGACGTTTTGAGACAGGTTATTTTGTTCACAGCCTGAAATGTGACATATAGAAATATGATGAATATGCCGTTATGCATGTTCTATGTTAAATACATTGGAATATCATATTCAACCAGATTTATCTTAAAAGACGTTCAAGTTGATGCGATACCATGACCCAGAGGAATCCTGAATCCTATTGTGTAATACTGTTACAAGACGGACTTAGATAATACTCTACATGTCGTTCAAGACGATGCGATATTATGTCCAAGTACAACCTTCTGGACGGACATTATCTTATAATAGTGTAATATCTCAGATAATATCTATATTTTCAACTTAGCCTATCCATGTCGATGGTTTTGTTTTGTCCACATTTCCACAACAGTTTTCAGAAAGTTCTTATTTTACACTTAAAACAGATTTCATATTAACCCATTTTAAAATCTCACAATTCGTTCAGTTGAATTACATATTTTCTCAAAAAACTAACATGTTCAAATGATTTTATTTCGACAACTGTGTTTGTTTTCTATTATTGTTTACAGGGAACAAAAATTAAATTGACACTACAAATTTACAATAGAAAAAAGAAGAAAAGCGATACAGTTTGTTGTGAAGAGTTGTGTGCCTTAGGTGTTCCAGAAACCTATGATCATAGATTTCGAATCACTTATTGCCCTGCTATTTTCCTAGTTTTAACAGAACCTAACATGTCTCTCTGGTTTTCACCACAGTAGTAAACGTCTCAGACCGGTATTATCCCGAGCTCCCTTCCCACATTATCTGTTTGTTGGTTGTGTACTGCCGCAAGCAGCAACATTCCAGCTATATGACGGCGGTCTGCAAATAATATAGTCTGGACCAGACAATCCAGTGATAAACAGCATGCACATCGCTCTACGCAATTGGGATACGATGACGTGCGTCAAAGAGCCTAACCACTCGATCCCGTTAGTCGCATCTTACAAGCATGGGTTGCTGAAGATCAATTCTAACCCGATCTTCACGGGTCCCTCCCACCTTACGCTGACAAGGGAAATAATCGAAATACTGCTTTGTCTTCTTCTCACTACTGAATAGTGAGGTGGGCGGGAACATGACTCAACGAACGTATTCATTTCCTCGTACAAGCGCCGATGCATCAGGCATGGTGGTACCTGGATGATTCGTAAACAAAGGTTGAGTTGAGTTGAGTTGGGCTTTACGTCACATCGGCATTATTCCAGCCATATAGTGACGAGATCAAGTTTCCATTTATTACCATTTTAAGTCCATGTCCAAAAGATTATATTTTAAAAACATATATATTCATTACATTTCTATTTCAAAACAGAAAATGTCATAGCACCAAATACAAAAGCAAGCAATTCGTTATTCTCTTTACAACGTTACAATTTATGATACAGGTCAACTTCCCTCAGGTAGTTTACAATCAGATGCCCGCTCACACGGCACCAAGCGTACGACGTTGCCATTCCGGCAACACGTGGTCTATCTCTTACATCATGTGTGTGTGTGTGTGTGTGTGTGTGTTTGGGTTGGGTTGCCAAGTGGTTAAAGCTTTCGCTCGTCACGCCAAAGACCCGGGTTCGATTCCCCCCATGGGTACAATGTGTGAAGCCCATTTCTGGTGTCCCCCGCCATGATATTGCTTGAATATTGCTAAAAGCGGCGTAAAACCGAACTCACTCACTCAGTCTTACATCATGCATGACACACGGCTGCATCTTCCACCTTCCCCCATAAGACAACAAGACACTGAGATACGCGTACTCTCTTCAGAGCTCTTCAGTCAGCTCTGAGCTTCACTGCGGCATGGTATCTCACTGGGCTAGCACTATAAAACCAGCTTAAGTCTGGACTAGTAGAAGCAGCCACACACATACACACGCATGCACGTCGTCATAAACTTGCAAGCTATAAGAATGTTGGAATTGACCGTTTTCATCATCATTTCCACAAATTCAGTTATGGAAAATGCACAATTGGTTTCTTCATACTTCTCGTGGTGGAACATACACATATGTAAATGGTTATATGTTTATTGTGAACAAGAAGAAAAGGGGAAATGGATCTCGTGGGGATGCATTCAGAACGACTGCATATCAGTGTTAACAGCGAACGACATAATTTCCCAAAATCCTGGAGACCACAACCACGGACCTGTACACAGCGAAGTCAAAGTGAATCTTTTCGACTGTACGAAAAATACTGACGGTCCCCGCACAAACAACAACCTCCGGGGTTGTAGTTGGCATGGCCGTTTCAAGAAGGTTGTGGGAAAACAACATCCCAACCTATTCGAGATGGCCAAGTTCTTGGTAGATGAACAAGGACTGAACGAGGCACAGATGCTTCAGTACAATGCCGGCCAAAGACTGTCCCCCAAAAGAAGTACAGAGATATGGAGGAACGACTAGATACCTTGAAGTTCAGGCTTGCAAATAACCACCTGACATTGATGGAGTACCTGGACAATGACAGACAGACAGACAGACAGACAGACAGTCACACAGGTTTTATTCAGTGGTTAAGGCCCAGTGGCCCAGAGTACAATTGAAGCTCAATTACAACTATTGGTCACGTGACATGAAATTATGGTTTTACATGTGATTTACGGATGGACATGAAATGTTTTATGAAAATGGCAACAGATTTAATAATGTCAGCATTATTAGAATTAAGTACATTATATATCGTTTGTGGGGCATCATTAGAGCATTTTAAATACTTCTTTCGGCAGGCAGAGAAAGTCTTACAGACTAATAATAAGTGAGGTTCGTCTTCAGTTTTACCAGAAGAACAATAAGAACATGATGAACTTCAAATGTATTATTATCTTTTCTAAAACGTTGTATTTTTAAGGCATGTAGAGAGATTCTAAATTTACAAAAATTTCTTAAAAGGGACTTATCATTAAGAACACTGCTATATTTTGCAGGTCCGAACATCGATTTACATTGTGAATAATGACTAAGAAAACTGGATGAAATGACTGATGCTTACCAACTCTGAATATATATATCTTTTATTTGTTGTTTAAATGTTGACAAAGCCATTTTCATATCTCCCACATCTTGCTTAAACCAAACATAAGAAAACCCGCTTGAAAATAATATATTTCTCACATCTGAAGCCCATGAATACTTTCCACATTTATCTAGTGATAACAATAATTAATAGCTTTGATGGGGGTAGCGATAATCAGGCATTCTTATAAGTTTAATGCAGTATCTAATAAGGCTGCGAAATATAACCGCTTTACCGGTATTTACCGGTTCAGACATGAAAACGATACGTATTGCGATACGCTGATCGAAAACCGGTATTTTGACATGCATTCGGAAAACTTCGTAACACTCGGAAATCTCCGGATATTTCCGTTTTTTTAATTGTTCTTTTCCGTTTCATTAATGCCAAATGTTACTTACATTTTTATTTTGTCATGATTAAAAGTTTTTTATAAAAGGTTAATCAACCATAGTGATTTTGTTGTGTTTTTGCTGTATAATCAAGCATTAACTCGATCAAAAGTAGTTTTTGTTAAAAAAAATAATCCTTGCAACATATTGCAATACATATCGCAATATATGCTTCCGCATCGCAATATATCGCAATATGAAAATTCTCTGCAATACCCACCCCTAGTATCTAATAACTCTCATTTGACTCTCAATATGCATGTTATAGCGTCCTGTTTCGCCAAGTACGGCTTTATTGGAAGCAAATGTACCTACTGTAAGAAATCTTTAAATATAGGATGCATGGACATTTTCAATGGCTTCGAAATAATTTGCTCTCCATATTATATGTGAAATTATGACATAATGATATATGTTAAAAGAAATATATTAAATCACAACCTTTTGTAATATGTTATAAAGGATCGAAGAAAGTATACATTTACACACACAAATATTCTTATATGTTTTCATTGTATTCTAAACGGTAACAACACCAGCCCGAATCCGATGGCCAGCGCGTATGCATATGCTTAAATTTACTAGTACACATGAAAGGCAAAATGGTATTATATCTACCTAAATACTTCTTTATAGAGTCGCAAAGCGTAGTATTTCAAGCAAACACGTTGTTCGAAGTGAAGCCCTCTTTTCTATATATTCTCAACAAACACACTGTGTCACAAGCGTTCGGTCCGGCTTGGCTCGGGTCGTTAAAAGCACCTAACACCTCAAAGGTGTATCTTTAATTGTGCTTAAATCCATAGATTAGTATTATATCTACCTACATATCACATTGAAATGTTACAAAATGCAACATGTAAGGGTAACTGGTCCGTTAAAGTGAAGCCCTTCTCTGCCCAACCTCAAATAGCTTAATCAATCAAAGTGTTCAGTTCAGTTGGCTCGACTTGGCCCGGGCTGTCAAAGGCAAGTTTAACCTCACACATGTATCTTGAAATGTGTGTTTAAATCCATAGATCAGTATTATATCTAACTAAATGCCACATTGTGATGTTACAAAGAAAACTGGGTCTATAAAGTGGTATTTAGATAGATATAACTATATTCATTGGATGTAAACAGAATCTAGGATTCATCTATGAGACCTCAAGATACATGTGTGAGGTTTAAGTTGTTTTGACAGCCCGGCCAAGTCGGACCGATCAGTGACTAAACACTTTTGATTAAGGCTATGTTGGGGATGGAGAGGGACAAGGGCTTTTTAATGCAGATCCAACTTTATCCCAAATAAATATACTGAGTCAAAAAAGAAACTTCACAAAATGTAATTTGAAAAATAATGAATAAGTTTTCTCTGATGATACATCTATGTATCCGAAATGGGATCCCTATCTTTCGACTCTAGAAAAACGTTAGCAAAACCCACTCAAACCCATCCATTCGTCGTGCAAATGACGTTAGTGCCAAATGAGGTTTTGCAGGTGCAGTCGATCACGTGATCTTCCCATCGAAGTTTTCTTCATATGCACGTGTTTGCATTGGCCTCAAGAATTGAAAAAAACACTTTTAAACCACAGTTCTAACGGTACTTGAAATGCCACGATTGTCAAATGTGCAACGTGAACGTGCCGTTGGCATGTTGCAAGCGGGAAGATCAGTTATTGACGTCGCAAGAGCAATGGGATGCAGTCGTCGTACTGTGTATGACTTGCGAGGTCGTTTACAACAAACTGGCACCACTTCTGATCGCCCAAGGTCGGGTCGTCCACGTGTGACGTCACGAGCAGAAGACCATCAAATCGTCCTACGTCACCTACGTGACAGATTTCTGCCGGCTACACGAACCAGGTCTGAGATGTTTAGAGGTCGACTGTCCTCACAGACCATTCGAAATCGGTTGCGGGCTGCCAATCTCCATTCTCGACGTCCATATCGTGGGCCAATATTGACGCCGTTTCATCAACGTCAACGTCTGCTGTGGGCCCAACGTCACCTCTGATGGACCCTGAGAGACTGGAATCGAGTCGTCTTTAGCGATGAATCCAGGTTTACCCTCAGATTCGCGGACGGCAGGCATAGAGTCTGGAG